AATTTAATTGCTTGTGACAAGAACTTCTTTTGTTTAAGCATTGGTTGTCATGGTGTGGTTATGTTGGGAGGTTTTCACCTGTAAAACACACACTGCCTGTGGTGTACAGAGGTTTTCACCTCTAAAACGCATGGCCTGTCCATGGTGTTCTGTTTCTTGGGTGTGTTTGTGGCTCTTTGGGGATTGGAGATTTGGGGTATTGATTCCCCTTCCTCCTGCCCTCGCAGGACGAGCTGCTGAAGTTCTGAGGTTCAATAGAAGATGTGAAGATCCCACTGTTCCTCTGCTGTAAGGCTTTGAGGTATGCCTTAGTCAATTTAGAAAGCAGCAAGCTATATCCAGCAATAAGCCATACTCAGCCTCTTCTACTGTGCCAAATTTAGCCATAAAGGTCTGAATACAATTCCTAATTTTCCATAGATTTCTAGCAATGACTCAGGCAAATAAGTAAATCTTCCTCAGCCTGTTCCACAGCTCCTGTTCACTGAATTGTGAGTATCCATGGGGACAAGGACTGCTTTTATGCCTTTGGAAAATGAGTTCCCCCTGGGAAAACCTCCCTGCGCTTCAGTAGTGCCGCTGACAAATAGCAGGCTGTAACTTGGCCGGGGTTACTGACTGAAGAAGAATGTTGGCTGGATTCTGATAGGGAATGAAGCTGTAAAATCTTTTTTCTTGATTTGCAAGTTGTCTCATGGCATCTACTGTTTGTTCACAGAGAGGAGATTTTATCCTTTAGGATTGCTGTAAGTGATAAGTGCTTATAACTGAGTATATGGGGTGTGGGAATGAAAGGTCCTGGATGCTATTAAACATTTCTTGCATAGGCAAGATAATACTAAAGATATAAGGCTGGTACATGAAAGCAGGACTGCTACTGTCCATAAATCCACAGGAAACTGACAGTTCCACCGGAGACAGCTGGCAGTGGGTCCCGTGGCTGACTTCACACTTGAGGCCATCTCTGATTAGAAGAGTAGTTGCGGTACATGTGCAAAAGTGTGTACTTGGAATGCAGATGTGAAAATGGAATGATCTGAACAGATGTTCATTCTGCTGATGTAGGTATTTGATTTCTGTCCCTGGCTCAGAAGTGCCTCTGGTTTTTCTTTCTTCATCACCAGCATGGGTCAGGCTTCTGCATGATGGAGGTGAGCCCTACCCTCATTTCTGACCTATTGCTCCTACTTGTCTTACAGTCAGGCCTTCATCTGTTCAAAATGAGAGAAAATTAAATAACCATCAGTAAATGCAGCTATGTCAGTTAAAGAATTTAAAAACAAAACAAAACACAAAACTTTTAAGAAAGCAGTATTTATAAGCTAGCTGGACACAGATGTCCATAGGCCAGGAAGTAGGGAAGATATCCAGGTGTTTAAAGTAGTTTAAAATTTTTTAACATTAGTGAAAATTCAAGACTTTAAAAGGAGAAAATTAAAAAATTTCTGTGAAACTGCAAAGCAGCACAACTTTCTAGTTTGCAGCAGCTGTGCTCCAGACTCTTCTCCTACACAGTTCTGTGTATTGAATGTGAAAAATTTATGTAGTCTTCTTTGCAAGGGCCCTTTCTTCATGGTGGGGGGATGGAGTTCATTCCCAAATCGATTTCCTCCTTGCAAGGAATTAGGCAAGAAATTTGACCTTGTTTGTTAATCTTGGAAATCTTCTGAAGGCTCAGGTGAAAGCCAGTCTCCTGCTTGTATAATTTTCAGATCCTTAGTCAGAGCCCATATGTTACAACCTGGAGGAAATGATGCTTGGGGATGACTAACTGAACATGTTCCTGCTGTTAATTTGGGTGTCATTCCAGAAATTTAATTAGTAAGTTTTCCCTTTCCTTTTGTTAACACATTTACTTACTAATTCCTGTCTTTGCTGTTGTTCCCCATAAGGAACTTAATGAAGGGATAAAATTTGTAATAACAGACAGAAGCATTTTTTTCCCAGCTGTGATGAGTAGGGAGAAGCAGAGAACATACACGTGTTGAATTAGCAGAAATTTGGTTATAGATAGGATATTCACTTTGTATCTTCCTGCCGCAAATATCATGTTAATCCAGTTTAAATGACTGTGGGGTTTACCAGAATTGAGGCTCTAAAGTGCTAATCAGAAATTCATAGAATCACAGAATGGTTTGGGTTGGAAGAGACCTCAATTCCCATCTTGTCCACCCCCTGCCATGGCAGGGACACCTCCCTCTGTCCCGGGCTGCTCCAAGCCCTGTCCAGCCTGGCCTTGGACACTGCCAGGAATCCAGGGGCAGCCCCAGCTGCTCTGGGCACCCTGTGCCAGGGCCTGCCCATCCTCATAGTGCAGAGATTCTTCCTCATACCCAGATCTTTAGGGCCCCTTCCAACCCAAACTATTCCATGAGTCCATGACCACCTTTCTTTGTCATGACCTTTGTCATGACCTTTCCAAACAATCCTGTTTTAATGTAATTACATTAAAATGTAATGCCTGGAGGTGGTTTCAGGCTTACATCCTTAGTTTCAGGATGAGAACATTTTGCCTTGTGTGGATTATATGATGGGGAATGAGTGTCTCTGACCCCAGTGAAGGTTTCTTGGGTTTGGATTAAACCCTGAGTGAGTCATGCAGTTAAACAGGTGTTTCTGCTGCTTCAGAGTAGAAAACACTTCGACCTTTAAGCCCTTTCAGAATCAGGTTATGTTTTTGCCAGTGACTCATGTCAGGTTCAGCCTGGAGGAATTTCAAGGAGGCTGCTTGAGCCCTGATGGCACCAGAGACCCCTCCTGTGGTGGAGGCTGCAGCCGCAGGAGTGGCTACTCTGCCCTGGCCCTCACCTTGCCTCTCCAGCTGGAAAACAATGCTCAATTCTTCAGCAATGCTCAATGCTTTTTCATCAATCTGATTTAAAAAATCCAGATTTTTTTCTACTGTAATTACAAATAAAACACGCATGTGCCTTCCAGACTCACTTTGTTGCAGTTGCCAAAAATGATCCTGCTTGTAATATGTAGAATATAGAGAATATGGTTGTGTGCTGAAGGATAGTTTTAAAAGTTACCAATAAAGTAGCAGTGGAAAAGTTCTCACAGTGCTCAGAAACCTGGAAATGAGAGTCAAGGACTATGGTATTACTTTTTTTTTTTTTAATTGGAAAGTATTTGCAAATCTGTTGGATCTATGAGGCCACCTTTCCTTTTCTCTGCCAGCTCCCACTCTGCTCTTCCTGCCTTGAATGGGGACTTGCTCCTTCTCCTTCCTAACAGCAGTGTGTCTGATTTATTCTACAGGTTTTAAATTAGAAGGAAACTCAGCAGTAGGGAAGAAGTGGTGGATTTGAGAGCAGTTCTGTGGCTCTTCTTGCCTGACTTGTTAGACAGCTTGGTTTTTTTGTTGGTTTTTTTTAGCTTTATTTTTTTGCTTTAGAAGAAAGGTGGCTGGTGCAGAGTAGCAGAAGTGCTGCCTGGCTCGGCTGTGGGTGTTCTGTGTGCTGCTGTCCCTGTGGGGCATGGGGGGCTCTGCCTGCCCTGGGGACCCAGGCCAGGTCACCGCAGGCACCCTGCACAGCCCAGCCCCTGGGCTGCTGCTGCTGCTTGAGCAGGGTTTGCTCTGATGCTGCTCCATGGATCTCAGAGTGAGCAGAGAGCACCCTGAATAGTCCCAGTACCAATGGAAACGCTCCCCCTGTGCACACACAGCACTGTGGCAGGGTTTTGTCATCCACCAAGAGCCAAATCATAGTTCCAACCCTGTGTTTCCTGTGATGAAGTCTCCGCGTGAAGTGTTTGTAGCCATGGGAATTCTCATTCCCATCTTGAACTGTCTGGGATTGTGCGTGAGGACAGGCTGTGGAAATGGCAGTGATTCTTTTGCATCTTGGCTACAAGTCAGCTGTGTTCCCATTTAATTCATTCTGTGTGCAAAGGAGTGCAGCTTGTATAGATGTGCCTAACTGACTTGAGAAAAGAAAGAAGTCTGAGGTCAAAATACACACTAATTAATCTTGGTAATTGGTGAGCCTTTGGCTTTCTGTGTAAGAGCACCGTCTAAAGATCCCAAAAGCTCAATTTCTAGGGCAGGGGTGGGCAGTGCTTTGACCAAGGGGGGCAAACCAGGCAGGCATGATGGTGGGGTCTGGGGTGGACCTCCCATGCTGCCTTGTTTCATCATCCTAAGAGGTTGGAGCGAGTGTCCAGGCTGCCTCTTTGAGGTGTCCATGTGCTGGGGAGGTCTAGGCAGCCCTGGAGTTTCTTCTGAGTGATTGGGAGACAGAGAGTCTCTGCATGTGCTGGACAGGGTCACGTCATAGCCTGGAGGGGAAATGCCCTGAAATTCCCCAGGAAAACCAGAGTAGTAGAACATGACATTTTCACATTTCTAATCTAAAGAATTTCCATGCATATGCAGCCTATGCAAGAAGCTGAAGGACAGTTGCAAACACTTCCTTTACCAAAAAGAAGGGAAAAGTCTCCAAAATGAAGCAGAACAGCAAACACATAAAAAAATTTATGTGTTTGGATTTTTTTGGAAAGTAACATGGTTTTAATTTAGCCTGAGGTAAACAGGATGGGCTGTAGAACCCAGTGTGGTGAGCAGCAAGGACCTCAGCTGGTGCTTTGTACCAGTGCATCCAGGATCAGCTGAGGACAGTGGGAGCCGTCCTGGCTGTGAGAACACTCATACCTGGAAATGGCATCCTATGGGTATTAATCCCTTGGATGAGGAGCCTCTCGACACCCAAACATGAAGAAATAGCTGAGGGTTGATCCATCATGCCACGGGTGTGTTCATGGTGACTGAAATATTAGTGCTGTCATAAGAATGGCGTAGCACAGGCATCTCTTTGTTTTCTTGATACTGGAATTAGGCCGAGTGCCCTAGTTCATAATGCTGCTGCTCTCTTACATAAAAGATTTTATGATTGCTCTTGACATGAGCATAAAACAAATCTAAAATTCTGAACATCCTGGCAATGCAGGGCCTTTATTTTTGTCCATCACTAATAATAATGTCTCATTTTGGCTTATAGGACAGAAAACTCACAAAAGTAGAGAGGCAGAGATTTAAAGAGGAAGCAGAAATGTTGAAAGGTCTACAGCACCCAAACATCGTGAGGTTTTATGACTTCTGGGAATCCTGTGCAAAAGGCAAAAGATGCATCGTGCTGGTTACCGAGCTGATGACCTCTGGAACACTGAAGACGTAAGTACTGTGCTCCTGCAAGGGGCTAAGAATAGCAGCAGACATTTATAGCAAAATCCTACTTTTGTATGCTGAAAAAAGCCATCTCCAGATAAAAGCAAAAAATGGAGCTGTTCTCTGGTGTCTGTCATTTGTCCCTGCATTTGAACCGCAGTGGTTTGATGGGCAGAATTTTGGCCTCCGTCTCTTTCTGCCTGCTTCCCTGTTTCAGTTATGCAACTCAAAGCTGTTCTCTGGTGTGTTTCATTTTCCGCCTGTGACGTTTGGATTTGTCAGGGTGTGTTTTGTACTTGCTCTTGGGCTTGTATTTGCATGTTTTGTTAGGGAATTCAAATGGAATAGCACTTGAATGGTAGAATCTCTCAGAAGCTGAAGGTGCTCTAGGTTATCTCCTAAACAATATGAATTAATAGCTTCTGGTACTGACAGTCTTGTTAAGGCTGATATAAAGCAGTTGGCATGAATTCTGGAACAGATTTTCAGCCCCAATGGGAGCAGTACTCACCCAGTGTGCTACTCTGCCAGTGCATTAGCAGTCCCTACATCTTCCCCAAATGTCCCCTCCCAACCAGCGCTTCAGGTAAATAGAAAGAAATGCAGGTGTGTGGTACAAAGGTCTAAGTTTGTGGTTAAAATTAAACTTCAGTATTCTTCTGATTCAAAATATATGAACATATTCCAAAGCTCTTCTCTTCGTGAAATGAATCACTGAATGATTAGACTTCAAAATATTTGGTTGTATTTGCACCAAAAATGCTTATTATCATCCTCCCTAAAACTGAATGCTCTAATTCCTCCTTTGTAAAGATCTATTTCATTCAATTTTGGGATATTTCTGTGCTGCTCTTGTGGCATCTAATAAAGGGCTTTTATCCATAGTGGAGTTTCAGAAAACTTAAGCTATGATGTTAAAGCCCCTCAAATCTCTAACAAAGTATTTTCACTTCCTTTTTACCCACTTGTGTGTGTGTTGTGCTCCAGGTATCTGAAGAGGTTTAAAGTGATGAAACCTAAAGTCCTGCGGAGTTGGTGTCGGCAAATCCTGAAGGGTCTTCTTTTCTTACACACAAGAACTCCACCAATAATTCACAGAGACTTGAAATGTGATAATATTTTTATTACTGGACCAACTGGATCTGTGAAAATAGGAGACTTGGGTTTGGCAACACTCAAAAGAGCTTCATTTGCCAAAAGTGTCATAGGTAATGCTCCTGTTCTCTTTGGCTTCCCTCGGTCAGTATCGTGGCTGTCTATTTAACATCTTCCTTTCCCATTTTGCATTAGTGATTTTAAAGTAGCAAATTGGTAGTGGAAGTTAAAGTGGGTTTGGGACTGTTGCCTCTATACCCCTATAAAAATAGGAATCAGTAAGTAATGGTATCTTCCTCTTCTCCTTCCTCCTGTATCATCCTTAATGCATAGGGAGCCCAGAACCAGTGAAGTCTAAACAGTAGAAATTTCAGATATGTACTTGGCTGCTGTGGATCTGCCTAATTTCATTGATTTTAATGAACTCGTGTTTGTTTATATTTGTTAAGTTTCTCTCATTTTTAACTTCTCGTAACTGGTGGTGTTTTTCTCTGTTGAGGGTCAGTATTTCTTCAAATAATTTTTTGCAGGGTAACAGTTGTTCATGGGACATATTGGAATAATATCAACAATAACAATACTGGGAATAATATAAGTAATACCAATATTGGGAATAATTCCAGAAGTACTAGTACTGGGAATAATATCAGTCATATCTATACTGGGAATAGTATCAGTAGTAGCAATACAAGGAGTAGCATCAGTAGTACTAATATTGGTAAGAATACTAGTAATACTTATACAGGTTTTTGTAAAATCAGTTATGAACAGAACACCATCAAAATACAGTCATGTCTGAAAGGAATTTGATACTGTAAGGGCTGCAGGATGCTGGCAAAGTGTCTGCATTCATTTTGGCAATAAAACTAAGCTTATAATTTTCATGAGCACTACTGCTCCAAGGAGAGAATAAAGGAGGCATGGAAACACTGGTGATGAGTAATGCTGCCCCCTCTGCAGAGGGAGTAGCTCTAAAGGCATATCAGTAGCTGCATTTCACGTTGGCTGGAAGGGATGAAATCAGCACACTGCGGTGTCTCTGCAGGAGCCCAGCCAGGGCAAACCTGCTCCTGCCAAGAGCAGCTGAGTGGGTGCTGAACAGCTTCACGTTTAGCTGGGCTGTTATCTTGAAGGATGCTTGTAGGTATTCCTTTCCACTCCAAGGAATGGGGGAAATGTCATTTTTGTTCTGCTTTGGAATGCTGCCAAGTATTCCATTTGTTTCTTAGACTATTGCTATCACTTTTTCAGATTTGTTTTAAATGCTCTGGAATTCATGAGATTCACTGCTGAGTTGTGTTCCTTCTAAAGCAAGGCAGCAGCTCCAAAATAATTTCTTGTGGCAGCTGTTAACCTTTTCTGAGTATCAGCCTCTGCCTTAGTGACAGCTTTAACAACACCCAGAGAGAGCAACTACACTGAGCCTCCATGACATGGGTCTGGCTGATTTGCTGAGGCTGTAGGCATGAGTGTCTTTGAGGTGGAAGGACAAGGTGGAAGAACATAAACAAGGGAAGAGATCAATCTTGAATTTTGTGAAATTAATTTTACAGAAATACTTGTTCATAAGTTAAGTCAAGTCTACTCCAGAAATGTGTGCAAAAGCAGACCCTAATTTTGAGGGTTGTCCTTTACGTTGCCGTTTAAAAAGAGTTTTGGACAAGTCAGAAAATCCTAGAATGGTTGGGATTAGAAGGGGTCTTAAAGATCATCTTGTCTTCCATGGCTGGGATACCTTCCTCTGCCCCAGGTTGCTCCAAGCTCCATCCAGCCTGGCCTGGGACACCTCCAGGTATGATGTTTCCTCAATTTCTTTAGGGACTTGAGTGATGGCTTGTACCTGGAAGAGATTTACACTAATATTAGGAAGAAACATATTACTGTGAGGGTGGTGAGGCCCTGGCACAGGGTGCCCAGAGCAGCTGTGGCTGCCCCTGGATCCCTGGAAGTGTCCAAGGCCAGGTCGGATGGGGCTTGGAGCCACATGGGATAGTGGTAGGTGTCACTACCTCTCAGGGGGTGAGATGGCTGGGGTGGATGGGATGATCTTTAAGGTACCTTCCAATCCAAACCATCCTGGAATATGCCAGAACTACTTTTTCTGATTCTATGTTACTTTAATTAGGGTTGTGCTTTTGTTGCTGATTAGTGATGACATAACAAAGCATTGATGGGATCTGCCAGGGCTGGGGGCAGTTTGGGTGCTGAGGCTGGACAGAAAGAGTTTATCTGGGTCTTTCTCATGGTCCAAAACCTGCCACTCTTTTTTTGGCATCCCAACAGCTTGCTGCTACTGTCCCTTGACACACCATTGCACTGATCTCTCTTCCTTCATCTTTTCTATGTAGAAAGGAAATAAATGAATTACAGTATGAGATACAGTTCCTGGAATGAATTACCCAAATGTTAATAGTTTTCTGTTTTGCTTTGTAAGCCCTCCCTTTTGAGAGTAGTTTGCTGAGGAAATGTTGCCAGTGTTGGGGTTGCTGCTTGTCCCCAAGCTGCATCTCCCAGTGCCTCACTTCATATTTACCAAGTTGCATCAGATTCCTGATTCCCTAATTCCTATTGAGTAGGACCTTGTTCTATGAGTAGCCTCATTGATTTGTCCCACTAAACCAGTGACAGAATTAGGTTTGATGTTTTGTGCATGACTCTGTAGGTGATTTGTGATACTTCTGGTTTCCAAAGTGCTGTCTGCCTTTGTATTCTGGAGGAAACAAAAAAAAAAAAAGGCAAATTTGCACTGATAAAAGCAAGAGTGAAGGTTCTCATTTCTTCTTCCCTTTTCACCTCCCTGGCCTTTTACACATCCTTCTCTCCAGCCAGACAGAAACCATTCTATCACTTCAGTATGGGCAGGAAATGAACCATAGCTCATTTTCTTGCTCATTTTTGAAATTTTTCATTCTTTTCCTTCCCCCTCCCCTCCATCCTGCTTCCCCTCTGCCCTGCTTTCCCACTTTGGATTATTGTCAACAAGCCATAGGCATGGAAGTGCATACATTGACATTGGATTTGCTCCCTGGGAGATGCTTGAGCTCTTTGGAAATTATCTTGTATGCACCTATACGCAATTGTACTGGGCACACTTCTCACAGGTGAAAAAGCTTGTGGTTAAAGCCATTTGGACTCCTGTAAAAAAACAACATTATCTTTGTCTGTGTAGGTACACCAGAATTCATGGCCCCAGAAATGTATGAGGAACACTATGATGAATCTGTGGATGTCTACGCATTTGGAATGTGCATGCTGGAAATGGCTACCTCAGAATACCCTTACTCAGAATGCCAGAATGCTGCTCAAATCTACCGAAAAGTAACCTGTGTGAGTACACGTCCTTAATTGGTATTGGATCCTGTCATTGGAAGGTTCAAAAGCATATTTTGATGAGGTGTTGGTACTGCTGAATGTATACTGCATTCTAGAAGTTGAGGTATCTGAGCTCTGGGTTGCACAAACCTGTTTCAGGCTTATGTGTAAGCTTACAATTCTGCACTTGGAGTGTGTTTTGATGCAGCTACATCAAATATTTTCAGTTACCTTTGTCACTGATTTTATCTCCATCGGCCGCAAATACAGCCCAATGGGCTGATGTGTGGTAGTTTAATTCTTCTTAAAGTGTTGCTTTTAGCCCAGAGCCACTCAGAAATAATTTTAAAGCCCACAAAAGGCTTCAGAAGCTGCTCAGCAGTGCAGTTATCTTCATCCTCTGGCTGTAGCAGCTCCCTTGGCATTGCAGGAAGGTGAGTGTGTGCAGCCATGGATCTGCTGGATGGTTACCATGCTCTGCACCATGGGGTGGCTGCAAACCATGCCGCAGCTTCTCAGAGACATGGAATGGTTTGATTGCTCAGGTGAGTTCCTTGCCTTTATCTCTGTTATTCAAGGCTAGGTTGGGCAGGACTTGAAGCTACCTGGTCTAGTGAAAGGTGTCCCTGCCCATTACAGGGAGGTTGGAATGAGATGGTCTTTAAGGTGCCTTCCAACCCAAACCATTCTGTGATCTGTGATGCTAGATCTGCATGGTTACTCAATGTTGTTATTCCATGGTTCTTTATCACAGTGTTTATTTATTAGCTTTGGCACAAGGGATGTTGGCTCTGTTTTGGTATGGTCCTTCAGATATGGCCTAAATGCTACCAGTGTGGGCAGCTTAGGGGACACTTCCTTGGACTCTAGGGGTTCTTGGGGTGGCTACAAGAGGCTCTTCTAATTTCAGGCTCTGTAGCCTCATGTCCTGCCTGTGAGACTGGTCAGGTACTCAGTATCACCATGGGAGCTGGTATTACTGGGAAGGTGTGTGTGCACCTGGAGCCATGGAGAACATCGAGCTCTTCATTGCTCCATGTACCTAGAGAAGCTGTGTGCACACCTCGTAGCCATCTGGAATACTGGTAATTAAGACTTTGCCAGTCTCCTAAGCCTCATTTATCAAAACAATATCCAAGATGGCAAAGAATAATGATTAATCAGAGGATTCCTAATTAGATGTTATATTTCAATTTTTAGATTTTAAGTAGCCATTGTTTTAAACACTGATGGAAGAAGCCTGAGCCAACTTGTTTTCTATGGCAGTAACATTTACACAGCTCAGAATTAGATGGTAAATTATTATAGTTTTGTAAAACTGGCTTTATACTGGCAGCTCCAGAGAGGTGGGTGATGATATTTGTCATATAGAAAAAGCAATGGTGGAGAAGCTGTTGAAAGGTCCTTGTTGGGGGTATTTTTGAAGCAGAACTGTCTGGCAGGGAAAGCTGAAGACAAAAGCATCAGGTACCAGGACGGAGAGTGTGCAGTTTTCATCTGAATTTGGGGTAGTAGCAGTGGGAGCAAAAGCACCAGGATTCCTTAGATGGCAAAATTGGCATTACTGTTTTTCCAAGGAAAGGGTTAACCAGCTCTCTGTCGAGTGGAGAAAGCCCTGTCAAATGCCATGAGCTGCACAACTGTCAGGCTGGAAGGAGGAGCAGGGGGTGGACCTCTGGGGTGAGGGTGCAGGAGGAGCCTCGTCCTGGGGGAGATCCTCTGTCCCAGGAGGAACCTTCTGGTGGGCTCAACAGCTTCTCTAGCGGAGTTGCATCTGCAGGGGAGCTGCCGACAGAAGGGACCCTGCTCCGAGCAGTGTGAGTGGCCTGTGGGGTCTGAGGAGGAGCTGGAGGAGTTTGGGGTGTGGGGTCGTGAGCCAGCACCATGCAGTGGGGTCTGCCCTAAGCTGGGGCAGTGATTACAAAAAGACAAAGTAACTCTAAGATCACTTGGAATAAGAGTTAGGTTTGGTGATGCAGCAGCTTGTGCAAGCCTTGGGGCTTATAAACTGAAATATAGTCAAAAATGGAGTGTAAACCAAGAGGCTGAAATTAGACCGTTTTCTTCCAGTATTAGATTAATTTTGGGGCCTCACTAAGAGCAGAAGGTGGCTCTGACCTTCTTGGATGGAGAGGGTGCAGAGCCCCTGAATGATGCAGCTTCTCAGTGGGACATTTGCTTCTTTATGACGCTGGGGCTTTTTTGCACTAGAAAGATAAATACTATTTCTAGTGTTTTAAATTGAGGGTCAGTGCATTGTGAAATGTGTTTGCTGTGTCTAGCTGCCTGATGCCTTTATTTAAAAAGTATAAAATAAAATAACTTTCTTTTCCTGCCTTGGGTTCAGCATTGTAGTGGCAACTACCAGAGGTATTGATAGCATTCATAGGGGTTGGAATTGCTGGCTAGAGTTTGCATCAAGAAGTGACAACCAGCAAAAAGTTTAGACTGCCAACCTTCTGTTGGGTCCCACTGAGCTGATATTCCCCCGGCTGCCGAGCACAGGCAGGGTATGATTTGGGTTTTGCCACTATAATATGTTTTCAGTAGTTTCTACTCTGTTTTCTAACACTCTACCATGCCCTTGCCTGGTACTAGGACATGAGATACACCTCAGGTCCCAGCTGTCCAAATCACATGTGTTGGTCATCCTTATTGGTGTAGAAAATGTAAACATTACCTTTCTGAGACATTATTTCAGCATATGTCACATTCTGCATGTCTGTAGTGTAAGATTATAATTTATTTCAGCGACCTTTTATTCTGCCTGACTGTATTCTTACGGCTAAATTGCTGCATTAATTTTTGCATTTCTGTTTTTCTACGTGTGCCTGTATGTTTGCAGTTGTCCAGGATAAGGAGGTGGTCATGTTTGGGAATGTGCAAAGGGGCTCATTTCTCTGCCGGACAAGACATGCTTGTTCCAGCCTGTCACCTCTCTCTGCCCTTTCAGCCTGAATGATGGAGTGTAAACATTTCAAAAATGGATATGTACCGTAAATAGAAAGCACATCTTTCCCAAGCAGTGGGGCCAAGCCACATTTACCACAGTTCACTTTGAAGTGATTTCCTGGTCAGCATATTTGCAGTCCCCTTCGTTCTGATGCCATAATCTCATTTTTCATGCATAACTTGATGGTTTTTCTTACTGAGATTTTTTTTGTGTTTAATCATTCTGCCAAGTGATTTTGATGTAGACAATAGTGATGAAACATTGGAATCCGTGACCTTCCCAGGCTGCTCCAGCCTAGTGTTTTCTTAGGCATGTGCTGCAGAGTGCACAGCAGAGCAGCTGCATCTCCAGAGTTCCTGGCCATCTCCTTGGGTTTAGTGGTACAAACCTGTGCTTCAGAACAACCCACCCTGTGACAGTGTTCTGGTTTGCATGTAAAGCTTTCATATTGTTTGTTCTCATCAACTATTGAAGGTTTTCTCAGCATACGCAGGCTGTATGCCATAGTGCACACAGGCAGAATTAATGCTGCGGCTGTGGCACAATGACAGCAGGCAAATCATGTTGTCAATGTCATTGCATGGACTTCTTGTGGCTTTTGGAGATCTTCTTAGATCTGCAGGTAACCCTCTTAGCTTTGCATTAAGATGGAGCACCATTCTGGAGGGAAACAGAGATGAGTTTATAATTGTACACTGTGATGTCATAGAACAAAATCCTGGTAAAACTGAGAGCTTTACCTTCATTTCACTGACTTCAGAGAGTGTGCACCAAGGTGCAGTTTCAGTTGGAAATGTGGCTTCACCTTTTTTGGTAGAAGGTTTTTTCCTTTTTTAGGAATGACATGAGCCTAGAGTTACCTTCAGGTGGAAGGTGGAGTGCTAGCCCAGAGCAGGCTGACTCTGGGGTGGAAGGGCACTTGTAGGGGCCAGGAAAGCCTCTAGAACACTGACTGACGTGGGTCAGACGTGCCAGTGACTTGTGTGGCATTCGCTGTGTCCCTTCAGAGCATCACGTGCTGCTCTTACAAAGTGTGCTCTGCTGTTGGAAAATGGCGAGTGGCTGTTTTTAGACCCTGCAGAATAAGCAGCACGTTTCTTCCCTCAGCATGAAGGATGCAACTTTTTCTGTATATGTCTGGCTGTAGACTCAGATGCCTTGTACTGGAGGGCAATGGATCATAATGGGCAATGTTTCTTCAGAAACAAGGGTATGGAAATAAGTGGTGGTGAGGGAGTCAGAATAAATCATCCTGTTTGGTACAGAGAAGCTCTCCATTTGATCTCTCGTTTTGCTGTTGGTTTATATATGTGTATATATATTTCAACATTTAAGGAATCTGTATTATCATTATGCCCCTTATGCCTCCCAGTGAGCTCAGCCTTTCACATGTGGTGGCATTGAATTTATTTTAATTTATAAGAGGCTGTACTGCTTTCAAACTGTCATGGATAATCTCTTGCCTAATACACTTTGAATTTTGGTTCTGTGTTTCCTTGGGAATGCTCAGGGAAAACAGATGGCTTTTGTTTAGGTGAATGAGATGAGCCCTTTGATGGCAAATAGAATCCCCCTTCATTGTCAGGGGCACTGTGCTGCAAGGGAGGGTTTGCAGCATCCCAGTGAGCTGGCCTTGGAGAGTTCAATGAAGAGTAAGGAAGAAAAGCATCCTATAGCACAGGGACAGGGAGAAAACACTTTGCCAAAGCAACTCTGTTCAGTACTTCACAATTTTTGTCCTCATTTGTTTTAGTCATCTACTCATAGCTGTTCAGCAGATTAACACAATGGATATTTGGAGAGGAGTTGATGTTCCGCCAAAGATGGGGAAAGTGTTGGTGAAAGAGTTGCTGTTTTTTATTTGTGGAAGCAATTTGTAAGGTCAATATTGGGAACCAGTCATTGGGGATCTGATGCTCTGGGCTCCCTGTGCCAGGGCCTCCCCACCATCACAGAGAGGAATTTCTTTCTTATGTCTAATCTAAACCCGTCTCTCTTCAGGTTAAAGTCTTTATTAGATCTTATTACGTTTTCTTCCTGGAGAGTGTCACACTATTATGGAAATCAGTTTTCTCATAGCAAACAACAGTGAATTGAAATGTATAAGATTTATCCTTCTTCCTGATGGAGAACACACCAGACTCCTGTAGCTTAAACATGAATTATGGTGAAGAGGAGTCCTGCTGAAAATACATTTTGATGGTGCTTTTGTTTTCTTTCATTTCTGATTCAGGTATCAGAGCTCTCCTAAGAGCTTACCATGGCACATTGGAGCCAGCCTGGGCTTTGCAGCCCGGGCACTCCAGTGCCTTTTGACACATTTTTCTAATACACAAAATTTGAACCCTTGTCTCATCAGTGAGATTTAGGTTTGCTTAAGCAAATAATTCTTTTTAGTGGGTCACAGCCAGCCAGCCAGCCACGTGTATGGATAATTTCGCTTTGTTCTCACAAAAATGGGTTTCTTTGGATCGCTTCAGCTTTCTGCTGAAACAAAACCAAGGAGCTGAGTCTTTGAGTGACTGTTCTGTATATTTATTATTGTTTTTTCAAAATCTACAATTTACATATTTCATGCTAGAATTTCAAGACAAATAGGGGGTTGTTGATCTAAAATTATTAATTAATAAAGTTTGAAATAGAATCTGCAGCTTGAACAGAATGTTCATAAAAGGAAAAAAGTATAATCTGATGCTGAAATATTCAGAAATTCTGAGAGAAGCTCCAGCCCTCACTGAAATTCATCCATAAAAATTATTTAAGACTTAATTCGGTGTATTATTTGCAGACCCTCTTTGAAAATACTTGTTTTCTTCTTTTAATCCACTGGGTGAGCCAAAAGTCTACTCTGCGGGGCTCCTTATCTGTGACTGCATGAGCCATTATTTACTATTATTTCAGAGTGAAACTTTAATAGGATTTGTATGGAGCTAAATGTTCAGTTCCCATTCAGTTATGTGCTTTACCACATTCTGGTTTTTAGATAAGGGAAATTGTGTTTCCTTTTTGTTCTGCTCATTGACTTCATTGGAAGTACTTGGGTCCTTAAGTGATAAGGTCCCACTGCATCATCTCTTCTCAAATAAATTTTGTCATATTTTCATCCATATACATCTTGGTTTAATAGGTAGAGGTAATAACATGGTTTTAAAAGGGAATCAATTAATTCTGTGATTTATGTTGGACATCAAAAATACAAAGAACAACTTCTTGCGTTGCCACTTGTCACCTGTAGCTGAATATATACATGGATGTGGGGACACTGATTCTGCTTCCCGGAGTTTTCTTCTGCAGTGGGTAGTTGGTTTTTCTCCTTGAAAGGCCGTGCTCATAGGTTGCTGTTCCAAATCTGTTCCCAGCAAAAATGCTAACATTTGACAGAGATTTAACTAGATTTATAGGTTGCACCTGTTCTATCACATATTCCCAGGGGTTTCTAACAACATCCTGGGAAATTCAGGAGGAGTGCAGAGATGTTGTATTCTCCTGCTTCCCTGCTTGGTTTCAGGGTTGATCTTTAATTTTTTTATGCAGAGGGGAATATGTTGGAGAGTGTTTGGGTGATGGAAAAGAAAGAGGTTTGTGGGAAACAGGAATATGGACTATTCTAAGGTATTTTTCACTCACTTTCAGTACTAGCTATCTGAAGAAAAACGTGATTATCTGTCCTTATTCATTTAGTACTTTGAGAGTTGAGGCAAAAACATAAAAGGAATAATTCCAGAAAACGGTTATTTTTGAAATTTAAACTTAGCTGTTTCTTGAATATTCACTTTAGAGTCCAGAGGATATAAAGGTAAGATTTGAAAAAGTTGGTAAAGAAAAAGGGATACTTTTTCCCTGTGTACGGCTGAGCTCGTGCAAACTACTGTATTAGTTTTGAAGTGCAATGGTATTTAGAAGTATAGTATCCCTAAATCCTTAACTCATTTTTGCATTAAGCAACTTAAAAGTTTTAGTAAGTTCCTGGGTTGAGTTACCTTTAAAATGCAGAGAAAATATGCTTGATTAAGAGATGTAATGTAATTCTTTTTCACATTAAATTGTTTTTCTTTATGCTTTTAGGGTATAAAGCCAGCAAGCTTTGAGAAAGTTACCGATCCTGAAATTAAGGAGATAATTGGGGAGTGCATCTGCAAAAACAAAGAAGAAAGGTTTGTTTCAAGGGATTGAGTTTTGTATTAAATAACATGTATGTAGGGATTTCAGAACTGTCTGTGGGTCTGCCCTGTGCAGAAGAAAATGCAGCATGGAAGTGCAGATCTAAATTATTTCCTGCTTTCCTGGCATTCAGTGTCAGGATAAGCAGTGCTGTTGTATCTCTCAGCCACTCAGCATCACTGTGGAGCTGAGCTAGGGTATTCTTGCAATTTCTGGTTCAGCAGTCCAAAAAATGTCAATGGGAAGGTTCTGTAGGGGTCAGGGAGGGTGATAAAAGCTGGTGTGGTGGATTCATCATGAGCTATGGTAGCAGATTTCAGTGCCCTCTGGACATGGAGACATGTTGTGCCTAGTTTCCAGCTTTGGTTTTAAAAATTAATGTTTTACTGGTCTCTGCCAGTTTGTCTCGTACTGAGTATTTCCTGACTTTCACAAATACAGTTTTTAGAGACTGCAGCTCACAGCCTAGAGAGAATCTCTTCTCTGGTACTCTTTAAGCTCAGATACTTAAGAAAAGTTGAACAAAGCTATAATCTGCATTTCTCTAAGTGCTTGTGGTGTATGAATATTGCTTAAGCTTTGAGAAATAGGAAATGTCAATTTTTTCTTTTTCAATTTCACTTTCTTTTCAAAATCCCACATCTTTTCAGAAAGAACAAAAATTCATTATGGGTGAACACCAAACAGTGTAAATATTTCCACTTTTAACAGCAGTTTCTTTTTACAAACCTTTCTAAAATTGTTGACTTGCAGTGTTTGATTCTTCTTTATATCCTTTGCAGATATGAAATTAAAGATTTATTAAGCCATGCGTTTTTTGCTGAAGATACTGGGGTAAGAGTGGAACTTGCAGAAGAAGACCATGGTAGGAAATCCTCTATTGCCTTAAGACTCTGGGTAGAAGATCCTAAGAAACTGAAAGGAAAACCCAAAGATAATGGAGCCATTGAGTTTACTTTTGATCTGGAGAAGGAAACTCCTGATGATGTTGCACAAGAAATGGTAAACTACACTTCTGATAAAAATGTGTATATATAGAAAGTAGTGCCTAAATCCCAGGGGCCAACAGGAACAAGCTGGGTAAACTAACTTCACTTGAACCACTCCAGGTGTCCAGTTTAGGCACTTTGCATTGATTTTGGAATGACTACTGCAAGAAAGGGGTGAACGGGGAGCAGCTAACTGAAACATATTGTTTGAAAGCAGATGCCTGAAATCACAGTTTACATAGCTTAGGAACTATAGAGGTCTGGTCTACTTTTAGATTTTTGCACGCTCTTCTCCAGTTTCTATAGGCTGTTGAACGTCTTTGAATTTATTTGGAATCTATTTAGTTCCAGACAGCAGCCAGAAATACATTAGAAGAGTTCAGAAGTTCAGTCACAAAGTATTCTGCATTGAATTCTCCAAAACACTTTCCCCCATCTTTCCTGTTGGTGTTCCTTAGAAGGAATGTAGATGAGAAAGGTCTGTGGTCAGCCGCTCCACCCCCAAACTTTGATAGGAAACTGGATTCACTGAGTTAGGAGTAAGCTTTGGATTTTTTAACTGATAAGTTTCACTTTGGGAATTTCTGTATAGTTGTGTGCTTTGGATTTTTTAACTGATAAGTTTCACTTTGGGAATTTCTGTATAGTTGTGTGGTTTTGTTCGGGAATCTGTGTTCCATTTTCACTACATTGTCCTTGAACTCCTATTTTGATGATATCTTTGCTGCAATTGTTTTGGTGTTCTAATGTCACAGAGGCTCAGGGTCAGTAAGCATTGAGCCAAGGATCTGAACGTTCCTGTGCTTGCAGAAACGTTCGTATTAGACTCTAAATCCCTAGAGATCCCATTTAATGATGTCATCACCACTCGTGTTCTTCTCATGAGGCACTCATTTTGGTAATGCTGCCTTGCTCGGCTGGAACTCATCACCATTTACTCCGAGTTTAGTAGGAGGAATTCAGGCTCCTTTGTCTTCTTGTCGTTAGTTTGCAGTAGGTCCAATGTTTTTCCAGCAATATATTATTACAGAACTCATTTAGTTTAAAAATTGCTCTGGTATCATTACTTACTGTTATATTTTACATTTAAATATCGATGGAAATATTTGGAGTTTCAGAGTTCTCTAAGTTGCTTGGTCCATAGTTGTGATGTTTTATTTTGAAGAGGAAATAATTCTCGTGAAAAGTATATTTAAAAGGATCATGCCCAAACTACGTGACACTGTACCTATTCCCAAATAATTTAAAAATCTGTTTTCTACATTAATGCGTACCTAAGAGACTGCCCATTAAATGCTTTCAAACCTGAGGCTGTTGCAGGGGCAGAAAAAGGGGACATTTATGCTAAATGTCTTTTTCTAGTCCTTACGAATTGTGGAACACCAAAGCCATGTGCTTTCATCTGTTTGTTGCTTTGTGTGCTGTGGAAGAGAGGAATGCAGGAGACCTTCTGAGTACAGGGAATTATTTATCATTACTGATGGGATTTTGGTAGTCAGGCAATCCCACCTGCCCAAACGATATGGGCAAAGGGGAGTGGAAACATTCTAGTGGGTTTGGAAAGTGAAGTTAGCTCTTGAAGCTGTGTTTTAAGATGCTTTGCACCCATTAATTTTAGCAGTGAAAATCTAAGCTGTGAAAGTGTCTTATGTTTGGGCAAGAGCAAAGCAGGAAAGCCTCAAGATTTCCCCCACGGATGTAAGTGCTTTCAAATATGCATGTTAAGAATGTAGGGAGAGCAGACAGATCTCTGGTACGGCATTATTAAATGAAAATTCATACCCTGCACTGCAGGAGATTATGCAAACAAATAACACAAAGATGAATTTCCATTTTATCTGTTCAGCAGTTGAGTTCTGAGAAGCCTCGTCCCCTTTTCCATCAAATAGGAAGAGTCTGCTTTTTCTTTGTAAAAGTCAATCAATACTGACTGACTTCACTATTTAAGAGAAGTTAATTTGAAACATAATTCTGTTAACATCTTGTCCTTGATGATTTGCTGTGCTATTAAGCAGAGCAATTTGGATAACTCTGTGTGTTGGACGAGTTAAGACAACAAATTCAGATTTAGGGGCAGTTTGATTCACTCCAGGTGCGTTTTTTAGAAATTCTTTTTCCTGTTTTGTCTATTCTTTTAGTGTTAAAAAGGAAAAAAATTAGGGAAACCCATCTGCCATTAAACTTGCTCTCCTCAATGGATGTTCAGTGGTGGATAATTAGAGCCAGTATATAGTCAGGTCTTAGACATTACATCCTGGGTTTTTTTAATGCATTGGGAATAGAAATTCTACTGAGAAAGAACCCCACTCCATCAAGCTCTTGAGTTTCTGTTCTTGAGAGAAATAAATTAATATAAATTCTTGTTGTTTCAAATGGATGTTTTCTTTGTTGGGAAGAGGTTCCAGTATCGTGTGTGTGCTTGTGTGTGTGCCAGCCACGTGCTCGGGACCTTGCTAAGTGTGTGTTCCTCTGCAGATTGACTCGGGCTTTTTCCACGAGAACGATCTCAAGATCGTGGCCAAGTCCATCCGTGACCGAGTGGCACTGATCCTCTGGAGGAGGGAGCGCATCTGGCCCAGGATGCAGTCGGAGGAGCGCCGTGACTCGGAGTGCCTGGACAAGCTGAAGGCACCGCAGGCACAGCAGGTCCAGGTCACCTACCTGTCCCACACGGGCCACCACATCCTGTCAGAGCCTGAGGAGCCGGAGGCGGACCAGCACCCCTTCCAGCAGAACCTGCCCACCAGCGTCACCTCTGTCGCCTGTAAGTCCTGTGTTGGCTTCGTGGGCACACAGGGATGAATGTCTGAGGGGGAAACCCATTGTGACCTGAGCTCAGGTGAACTGATGTGGGTGGTTTTGCACAGTAGCTCAAAATCCACAAACATCTGGGACAGATGCATGACAATTTCAAAAGCAATGAAGTTTCAAGGAAACAGTATAATATAGATATCTTTATATAACTCTGTATATATTTTGCTACTAAACAATTATCACAGAATTTCTGTTTTACTGTTCTGGACTTGTATGTAAGCACATTTAAGTAAAAGATGCATTACATTTAGCAAGACAGCTGCTGCTTCAATTCAGGTATTTTATAAAGGGCTACGTTGAGGTCTGCTTTGAATACTGAAATATCCATGTGTACCTGTACAGGAGAAATCCCTTTACATGATATGAGAAATAGCTACATTTGATTAACATTCACAATATTGCCACATTCACAAAGGTTTTCATCGGAAGCTAAAATGAGGTTATTTCTTTTTTTTTGGATCATATACTTATTTCATGCTAGTTCATTTGAGGAACACTGCAATTATGTCTCTTTGTTTCTAGTGCTGCAGTGAAGTGACTTGTGCTTCCCATGGCTATGCTGGACATGAGTTGGCAAAATGTTATACTAAATACAACCTCCACAATTTATTTCCTACCCCTCCTCAACTTTTAACCAGAACTTGGTATTATTTGGCAATTTGCTATCAGATTATTTGAACATTTTTCTTAGCATAGGACCACTAAATTAGGGTAGCACCCATTCATATAATTTGAGATTAAATGTAAAAGTGGAAATTAATAACTTTATGTGTGCAATGTACATTCTATAAAAACCTGAGACTGACTCACAGCTTTTACTTTAGCACTCTACCATTAGACACCCCTATTCTTTTTCTTTTTTCCTTTGAGGTCCTGAATAATTGTTTGTAATAAAACAGAATGTTAATGCAGCAGAAATCCCATCATGAGAATAGGGCTATGTTGGCTCTTCAGAAATGAATTGAATAAATAGAGAGGGGAGTTTAATTTTGGAAAAGAAAAACAGTTGGGGGAATAGCTTGGGAGTACTGAAGAAAAATGTCATCTCTGGTGCTATTAAAAATAATTTGTTATTTAAAAGCCAAATAAGTAAAACTTTATTTAGAATATGGAAAAAAGAGACAGAGGAAGGTGTTGGGAAAAGAAATAGTATTTAAGCTTAAGCTGTAATTTAAGATGGTTATTGAAACTGTGTTGCAGTTTTCTTTCAGTTTTGAATTTTAAATCCCTATTAAAGCTATTTGTCCTTGGGATACATCTAGCTGCAATCTGGTTGTCTCACTTCCTTTGTCAAGTGAAGAAAGCAGTAATTTAGGCTCAGAGTTGGGCATTTGTATTTTACACATTTTAAAAGTTGTGAAAAGACTTTTTAAAGTCAGTAATACGGATATTTCCAGTTCCCAAAGGACCCAGTGCTTACCCAGTGCCCGTAGCTGTGCACTGCCATAGGTTAACTGGGCAAATGCTCCAAAGAACTCCCACAGATCTGAGTGTGCCAAACCCATTGGAACCTGCACAGGGGTTTGTGTCTGACCTTAATTGCACTACACTCAAGCAGAGCATGACTTGCTGAACTAAAATCATACAGCATAAAGAATTTTGTCATTTTCAGGGCTGCTGATAAAAGCAGTGTTAAAGTCAGTGCATTCCTGGAAGATGGAACTCTAAAAGACCCCACGATCTGCTCTGAACATGACAATCGGGGTTTCCTCTCCTTTTATCCTACAAAATCTATAAGCATCTGCAATTATGAATGTCAACCTTATGCCCTTTAAAGGATATAGTAAAGTGCCCGAAATATCAGTGTGTACAAAAATCCATGGGGATGGGTTTTGGCTTAAGAGAAGCAGTGTGTGCCTTTTGTAGAGAATAACATTGGTGTTGTATAATTTATTTATATAAAGAAAGGGCTAGAGTAGTAAAAATGCTAATTACATAAACCATGGTGACCTTGCTCTAAGATCATCACTTGAACACGGGGAGCTGTTGAACTTTATTAAAAATGACTGTTCTTCCAGCTGACAGCACGTTTGACAGTGGCCAGGGCTCCACAGTTTATTCGGACTCGCAGAGCAGCCAGCAAAGCGTCATCTACTCATCCCTGCCAGACGCTGTCCCTCCTGCCATCCAGAGGGTGTACAGCCCCCCACTGAGCGAGGGCCAGCCTGTGCCCCACAGCCTCCCCCAGCTTGGCCACTACCAGCAGCCCTCAGCAGTAAGTCCAAAGCTTTTTCAAATAGTTCTGTATCTTGGGTCATATTTCATATTATCATTTATGCTCTTGTTCCCAGAGGGTATGGGTTCCAGGGCTGTCTGTATGTACTCCTCACTCACCTCTGCACACAGTGACCTGCTCAGTCCCTTATCAGTCTGTTGGCATTAGTGGCTTTGCAGCAAAGCACAGGAAGGACATGGACCTGTTGGAGTGTGTCCAGAGGAGGTGACAAAGGTGCTCTGAGGGCTGTAGCCCCTCTGCTCTGGAGCCAGGCTGGGAGAGCTGAGGGTGCTCACCTGGAGAGGAGAAGGCTCCAGGGAGAGCTCAGAGCCCCCTGCAGGGACTAAAGGGGCTCCAGGAGAGCTGGAGCGGGACTGAGGATAAGGGATAAAGGGACAGGACTCAGGGAATGGCTTCCCACTGCCAGAGGGCAGGAGTGAATGGGAGATTGGGAGGGACTTGTTCCCTGTCAGGGTGGGGAGGCCCTGGAAGAGGTTTCCCAGAGAAGCTGTGGTTGCTCCATCCGTGGAAGTGTCTGTCCCTCATGCTGCTGTCTCTCTGCAGCCCGTCCTGCCTACAGTGCCAGCCACACCCGCCGTGGTGCCCCAGCACTACCAGGAGCCAGCAATGCCGTTCCCCGTGGTCCCCAGCACCGTGGCCTCGCTCCCGCTGGGGCAGCCGCCGCCACCCGTGCTGGCCAGCCAGCAGGTGAGAGCTGGGCTCTGCCATGGAGCCGTGTCCATCTCAGCCCTTCCCTGTGGCTGCTCTGCCTCACACAGGGTGCCTAGAGAAGCTGTGGCTGCCCCTGGATCCCTGGAAGTGTCCAAGGCCAGATTGGACAGGGCTTGGAGCACCCAGGGACAGCGGAAGGTATCCCAAGTTTCTCTGCGAAACTTCCCAGAGCACCTATGTTCCTCAGAGACAGCAGTGTCCAGTGAATGCCCATGCTAAGGAGGGTAGGGCAGGACAGCAGAGGAACAGAAATTAGGGTGAGAAATTCACTTACCTCCAGAATTAATTGTTTTGATCTTGTATCAATATGCATTGGTGGATCAGACATGTGGAATCAATGTTGTATCTCCTAACTTCTATTTCTTTTTCCAATTTGGGTGTCTGTGCATTTACACTGCTAAAGTTATAATGAGGCAAAGTTACCTAATCTGCCTGGATATTTTCCCTTCCCGGTGCCTTATTCAATTCACAAGCATTTCTTGAGACACAAGCTGGATTTGAGAGGGAGGTTTTAAGAAGCAGCTCCATTCCCTGAGCACAGTTTTCCTGCTCTAATGTGATGTCTCCTGGAGTGGGAGGTGGCTGAGCCACAAGTGCCAGTACCCTCTGTCCCCTTGGTGTGAACCATGGGCAGCTGTCTGAGCTGCAGATTAACCCAGCTGGGGCACAAGACCAAGCTAGCTCTGGGAGCTGGCAGCTTTATGAGCTCCAGCCCAGCGCCATGGGCATGCGGCTCTCCCACCCCAGAGCTGGGGCTTGGTCCTGCAGGAGTTCCTCCATGGAGTGAGTGGGGTCCCCCCCATCCCAGGTGGGCCCCTCCATCCTTCAGACAGTGTTCAGGTGCCTCCACCTTGGCCCTCAGTTTGCTCTGTCCCATCACCAGAGCCAGGCCAGCCCCTGCACTGCTGTTCCTGTGTGTTTGGGATTGTAACTGGGGAGATCTTTCCCAACATGAGATGGCAGAGGTTCTGTGTGCTGCAGAGCCTGATGAGGCCACCAGCCCTGTGGTCCCAAGTAAGTCACCCTGAGCCAGCCTATGCCTCAGGGTCATCCTTTTGAACCAGAAGGGCTTTTTAAGTATTTCCAGAACTAATTAGAGGGACTGAAGAAGAAGATACCAATAGCACATAAAATGTGGGGGGTTGTTACTGATGATTTCCAGCTTTAATGCAACTTTTTCTCTGTTCTGCTGTCTAAAGCCTGGCAGGCCAGGGGAGCACTGCTTTCTCTGGAAAAGTAAAGCTGCTTTTTTGGCTACCACATTGTCACTACAGTACATCAGAAATATCTGGAACCTAGCTTTTACTGCAATTATTGTAGTTGATTGTGTCTCAGGTAATAAGTGTTATATTTTCCATGCCTGCTCCATTATGTAGCAACTTCTGCTTGCCAGTATGAGCTGAATATCAACTGTATCTTGTAAGTTAGTGGTTGGGGATTTCACGAGACCAACTGGAGCAATCTCTGGGATTCAAAGAGTCTGAGTCATTACAAGTAGCCTCTCCAAGACAGTTACCACTTATCATTTTAGGTAATATATCTTGCATTTAAATGTATTTTAGGCGTGGGCTCCTGTGCAGTGTTTGAATTAAGAGTGCTCGTCTCTCCTGGGAGCTGTCCCTGCTGGAGCATGACCAGGGCAGGGAATGGAGCTGGGAAGGGGACTCCATGTCTGGAGAAAAGGGGGCTCAGGGAGGACCTTCTGGCTCTGCACAACTCCCTAACAGGAGGGGGCAGCCAGGGAAGGGTCGGGCTCTGCTCGCGGGGAACAGGGACAGGATGAGAGAAAATGACCTCAAGCTATGGTGGGGAAGGTTTTAGGTCGGATATCAGTGAAATTTTCTTCACTGAAATAGTAGTTAAGCATTGGAATAGGCTACCCAGGAGAGTGGGGGAGTCAGCATCCCACAAAATGCTCAAAAAATGTATTGATGCAGTATATGGGGACATGTTTTAATGGTGGACCTTTCAGTGCTGGGTTAGGGGTTGGACTCAGTGATCTTAGAGGTGTTTTCCAATCTTAATGAGCCTGTGATTCTGTACTCCAAGCACCAGGTCTGTCCTGACAGTGAGCTGGGGAGAAATGGGGAGCGTGGCCAGCCATCTGGTTTTTTTGCAGTACACAAGCAGTAATCTTTTCCTTCTTGTCCCTGCAGCAACAGCCCATCTCGCAGGCAGCCTCCCTGCAGCAGGTGCTCAGCAGCCAGCCCGTGTGCCCGCTGCCGCCAGCCCCCCACCTGCTGCCGCCGTTCCCGGCGCAGGGCTCGCAGGTGCCTGCCAGCAACACCCCCCTGAAGCCCCTGCAGATCTCCACCGTGCCGCAGCTCCCACCAGTGGCCCCTTCCCAGGTAAGGAAGGGCTGTGAGCATGGCCATTTGAGGAGAAATTTCCAGCTAATAATTAACATGATTTGCAGGTTTTGTGTGGCTATTTTGACTGCATGCCAGTTTAATTAGGCGATAGGAATATTATTGCTCTTTCCTAATTCCTTTATATTTCTTTGTTATTTGTTTGGTGAATCAGAAATCTTCTTTGTGCCCAACTCTACGCCATCCAGTTAAACGCAGCTCCAAAATGGCAATAATTTTTTTGGGGTTGTTTTGTTTTGGTCTTTTGCACTGTCTCCTCTGGCACAATTTCTTCCCCATCCCAGGCTTGAGGGCATGAGCAGTTGCCTGTTTTTATTGCTATTTTCTGACCTCCTGACTTCACCACTTCCCCCAACACCTGCCAGCCATGTCAGTGTTGTTCTGCTCTGGGTCTGTTCTCTGGAGCAGGGACAAACCCTTCCCTTGGCCTAGGAAGGTGGATGGTGCTGTGTTTAGTAGTGACAGCGCCATAATGTGAAGCAGCTTGTGCCAAAGGGCAGGAGCAAGCTGCTGCCATGATGCCAGTCTGCTCCATCACTGGGAGGTTTTGATTGTAAAAACCCTTTCTCTGGGCTCTTCCGTGCTGCCTGAGTTGCAGCTTGTTTGAAAACAAGGGTTTAAATTGCCCCACTTAATTTTGCATGAAAGAGTTTTGCGTTAAGTCTGGCCCAATTCCTTTTAATTTCTGTTCAAATGAAAGCAGCATTTAATTAGGATGTTGCTTGAAGGCTTCAAGCTGGTGTTAGAAGTAGTTCTAAGCTTCTAGGATATAAAAGCATCCCCCTCAAATGTATTTTTTTTGCTTTTACTAATGATTTAAGCGTAAATCAGTTTTTATTACTGCTTGCGAAGCTCAGGGAATGAATGGAAGTGATTAACAAACAGATATAATTATCCTCCTGGCACAGGTGGTTTTTAGGGACTTGTGCGGCAAATGAAACTTCTCTATAGCATCAGTGAAAGCACTGATGCAGTTTATGTAATATTATATTTTTTTCAGATTCCTCAGTTTCCTGTCATTCCTGCAATTACTCCTCTGGCAGGGCTTGACAGCCTTCCTCCAAACCTGTCTGACATCCCTGCTGCAAACGTGCCCCCCATTCCTGCTCCCTCCCAATACTTTGCTCCAGCCGTGATCCTGCCCAGCCTGCCCATGAACCCCACGCTGCCCATGGCGCCCAACTCCCCTGCCCTGCCCATGCAGGCCGTCAACCTGCCTCATACCACCGTGGCTTCTCTGGTCCTGCCCTGCCAGCCCATGGTGCCAAACATGCCGGCGGCCACCATCCCGCTGCTGGCTGTGGCGCCGCCAGGGGTGCCACCGCTGCCGCCGCACGCCGCGCTGCCGCCGCAGCCCGTGTTCCAGCCCGCCTTCCAGCCACTGCTGCCCGGCGACACGCCCTCGCCCCACCACGCACAGAGCTCCCAGCCCGTGACCCAGGCACAGCCACCTCCTCCAGCCCTGCAGCCGAGTGTCATCCACCCTCCTGAGCCGGCTCACCAGGTAAATCCACCGGGCGCGGGGCCGTGCGCTGCAGGGTGCTCCAGGGCACTGCCTGTCCTGGGGTTCTGTTCCTTGCCAACATTAATCCTTGTTCTTGAGAGGCTTTGTTGACTTCTTGCTCTCAGTTCTGGAGGTGGTGGCTGAAGCTGTGAGCTGTGGGGTAGCAGGTGATATCCTCAGCCAGGGACAGGGGTTATCAAGGATAGAGGGCATAATACAACTGGCTTTGGACAGTAAATGAGCAGAGCACTTTCTGAATTTCCTCTTCCTTCTTGCTCTCAGATCTTGGGAAGTGTGAGCTGTGTTCTCCCAGGTCAGGAGGGTGTACCAAGCCTTGCCAGTGCCTGTAGCTGGTCCATGTAGGATGCAGGGGCTGCTGGGTACACACAGCAAATACGGGGGAGCTGGCAGGAGCAGTGGAGTTGTTTTGGTGTAGAATATATTTAAAACAGCAAAGGGAAGTGGCTCTCGGGTAAGGACTCTGGAAAGCTCTGTGGAAGAGCACTGTCAGGCCTGCAGGGCAGGGATGGATTCTAGCTGCAGACCCTTTCCCCCTTGAAAAAAACAAAGCATAAACGAGCTCAAGCAGTATTTACACGGAAACTGCCTCAGGACTGACAGAGTCTGTAAATACTTCTCTCGCCGCATCTGTGATATGTCAGCATGAAACACAGTCTGACCAGAGCAGGAGAGGACACTCAACCTGTTAATAAGGCATTTGGAAAATCTGTATTGTGCCACATCCCTTCACCATAACACCCTAAATAAAATTTGTAACATCCCATCCCAACCTGTCATGGCATCTTCAGAGCAGTACATAGTTTTTAAATTTCTCTTTTTCAGCCATATATTTCGTACAGGATTACTGTTGTTGAGAATGTCAGCAGCATGGAGTTTGGGAGTGTTACTCAGTGTTCCCTGTGGCTTTAGAGGGAATGGAATCAAGCACACTGGACACACTGAGCATGGCAAATACCAGAACTGGAGAGCTGATGTTCCCAAACCATCCTGACAAAGTCATTAGCTATCAAATATGTGTAGAAGAATTGCATAGGGAAGAATTTGGGTTAAAAAATTGCTATTACAATGTGCAGAGGAATATTTTAAAAAACATTGTTTTGATTTGAAGACTTCTATTGGAGAGGTATTTCTGTATATAATGCCATGCTGTTTTCACAATTGATGTTTAGCACCTCTGAGTTTTGTTTTGGCTGGGTACATCTGTATGGGCATTCACTTAAGAGCTGCACTTGATGATCCTTGTGGGTGCCTTGCAAGCCAGAATATTCTGTGATTCTGTGATTTTACATTGAAATATTTTGTGAATTATTCTAGTTATATAAGATTTAAAATTGAACCACCCTTCTGTGGCATTACACCACACTTGTCAGTCTAACAACCCTCACTTTGGGCAGCCGTGTAACTCTGAGGTGTTATGAAGCACATCCTGTCTTTACTTTTATCTACATTAAAACCTGGAATAATAGTTTCAGCCATACCCAGAACCTGCTGAGAGCACGCAGCAATGAAAGCGTGTGGCCTAGTTCTCATCTAAGTCTTTTTTTTTTAATGTATTTTCCAATAGCCTTAAGTCTCTATGTGATGATACTTCAAAAAAAGTAAAAATTGGGCACACTTTTACCTAGTACTAAAAGTCTTTTTTTTCTTCCATGTGCTTCTTTCTTTCCTTCTTCCTCTTTCCACAAGCTCAGTCCCCCTGGAAAAATACATGATGTACCTAAAAGGAGAATGTTCTGATTTTAAATGTACAACCCAAAAGGACTGTTATGCAGAATAACAACCCAGTCTCTAAGGTAGCTGGCATCCTGTCGCCTGGATCTGGTTCCCACCAAGTGCTTACGCACTTGAGTCATTTTAATGCACTGGAGAAATCCACTGAGAAAAGTGAAACTCCCTCTGTCCACATGAATGTGTTGGTAGGATTGGGGTGTTGGCGCTTGGCACATCAAGGGTTAAGTTGAGAATTCAGTGTGTAAACTGCACTAAACTGAAGTAGGACACTGGTGTATATTCAGTGAAAGAGTTAATTGTGTCATTTGTACCAGGTCCTGGTTCTACATATCTGGCAGATTTCTTAAAATATCCTAAGTTAGGTTATGGGTAGAATGTATTTTTCTCTGCATGGACAGTGTGGAATTGTTGAAAGCAGAGCAAAGTATTCAGAGGAATGAATTCCTCACCTAAGATCTTAAAAGGAAGTCCAGAGGAGGCCCTGGAGATGCTCTGATGGCTGGAGCCCCTCTGCTCTGGAGCCAGGCTGGGAGAGCTGGGGGTGTTCACCTGGAGAGGAGAAGACTCCAGGGAGAGCTCAGAGCCCCTTGCAGGGGTTGAAGGGGCTCCAGGAGAGCTGGAGAGGGACTGGGGACAAGGGATGGAGGGACAGGACACAGGGAATGCTTTCCCACTGCCAGAGGATAGGGACACGTGGGATATGGGGAAGGAATTCTCGGCTGTGAGAGTGGGCAGGCCCTGGAAGAGGTTTCCCAGAGGAGCTGCGGCTGCCCCTGGATCCCTGGCAGTGTCCAGTGCCAGGTTGGATGGGGCTTGGAGCAGCCTGGGATAGTGGAAGGTGTCCCTACCCATGGTAGGGGGTGGAATGAGATGAGCTTTGAGACCATCTATCTAATGAGATGAGACCATCTATCACAAACCATTCTGGAATTCTGTAATTTTTCCTTTCTTAGCAAAATCTGCTTTTGTCCCTACTAATAAACTAGTACCTGATCAATGCACCTTGTCATAATTGTACAGAAGGCATCCTTAGCGCTTTTTTTGGTTATTTCATGGGAAGTTTATGTCTGTAGATGTTACTGAGAGCATCCAAACCCAGTTGCACTGCGAAGTTTGAGTCCTTTCTTCATGAACACCAGTGACTTTGCTCCCTTGTCACATACGTGTTGAGCCCTTGGCGCAGAGAGATGTGTGCTAACAGCTCTCGTTGTGTTGCAGCCCATGCCTGGACACACTCAGTTTGCTCTGGAAGCTGGAGCCCAGGTGCCTGTGCTGCCAGTGCAGCCCTCCATGGTCATGTCACCGCCGTTGCAGCTGCAGCCGGAGCTGGTGCCGCCCTGCGTCGCTCCCGAAGGCGTTGCCCAGGTCCATGGCAGCCTTGCCACAGCTGCCCCGCCTGCCCCCATAGAGCCTGGCCTGCCTCTCCAGCCCTCTGCTCTGCTGCAGCTCCAGCCTGATCTTTCGCAGCCACTGGGCCAGCAGCTCCCAGCTCCCTGCTCGGCTGTCGCAGCAGGCACAGAGACATCTCAAGAGGTAGAGCCCTTCCTCTGAAGTAACTCACCAGCCTCAGCCTTAATCTTCTTAGTTACTCCTGTGTGAAACAGTGGGCTTGTTGCACAAGGGAGGTTATCCCCTCTGTGTGTTGAGCTGCTGCTCCTTGATGCCAGCAGTTCTGGGTCAGCAAATAATTGGCTATTCCAAATGAAACCTCATGTTGCAGCTCAGGAAATGTCTCACTGAATTAATGAGGCAGCAGGACTAAGCACCTTCTTGTCCATAGCTGAGATAGAAATCAAGAAATTCTCAATGTGGGTGAGTTAGAAGTTGTTCTGTAGAGTTTCACCCATGTTCTGTCCAGTCTTGTTTTAAATGTCTCAAGCACTTGTTCAACAACCCATCATTTGCCTTAAGAAACTACTCCACAATCTGAGTCTTTGTATTGTGGAAGCCTTTCATCCTTTTCAGTTTGAGCCCTATTCTCATTTCATTTAGCATTGTATCCTCCTGTATTGCCTAATGTCTGCTGTAGCCCTGGGATTTTTGTTTCTTAAGATACTCATAGGCATTCCCAATTCTCAGTGGTCATAGAAGCAGGATGCTTTTTATTGTTTTCCTTACAGAATTGTCAGCTCCTTGTCTGCTATTTTGACTTTTCTTTCCACTCCCATAATTGTTTAATCTTCAGTCTTGACAGAACATCACAGAACATTTCTTTCTCTTCAGCTGCCTGTTAACAAAACAAAACAAAAGCTTTGGCATTTCTACCTGATTTCAGGAAATAAGTCTAATTTTTTCTCCACTCCTGGATGGAAATGTCCCACTGTGATTCTGCATTCAGAGTGGTTCCTCTTGAGTCTCTGCTCTGAGTTATCTTTCTTCCCAAAGTATGTATCTCATCTTTTCAAAATTAATCCTTTGGTTTTGCCCATGTTTCCATGGCTTGTCACATGCCTTGACCCCAGTGCAGCCTGAAATTCCATTGGACATACAACTCAATGCTGCCTCCAGAAGATGCTCCAGAAGGCCTGTGCTAACACTAAAAATGAATTCTAGTTCCCCATTTTTCCTGTCTGTCAATGGCAGTTTAATTCTTACTGCATCAGCATTCCTGCTGTGATGTAGGATATTTCCTGGTGAATGTCTGCGTCCTGTTGGTTAAGTGTATCAGGAATTGTAGAGCCTGTCTGCAGTGCTTCACCTGCAGACTCCCCGGAAAAGCTGGGCTGGGTCAGGCATATCCATCATTCAAGGTACTCCTTCTCCAGCTGTCTTTTTTCTGAATGCACAACTCATGGCAAGGTCAGTGCTGGTGCCTTCAGTGCGGAGTCCATTCCATTAGAGATTCTGGAAATATGAACAAACCTCATTGTTAGGCACTGTGATAGGGGGGATACAAGTTCTCCTGAGAAACTCGTGGCCACTGAGGCACATGTCTGTCCTTCGCATCCCACATCCCTCAGAACATTTAACCACTGGTTTGCTAATTTCTTTCTCACGTCCATCTCTAAGTTAACCGCTTTCTCTCACTCACTTTAAGAAGTGAAGCAAGTACCAATGCACATTGTATCCATGCTGGTTTTCTGGCATACATGGCTAAAGTTTCCTTGGGTGTAAGAGAAGTTTCATACCTGTCTATATAATCAAAACACTACATTTTGTTTCTACTCTGCCATGACATTTTTATCTCTTCTGTTGTGTTCAGGCATGTTGCAGCACTTGCATCCAAACCAACCTGAACCAGTCAGGCAAAAGAGGTTTTGTAAGGCACTTGGTTGAGTGCTTTACCAGAATGTTGATACATTATGTCTGTGTTCTCTCTGTTCATTGATGTTGCAGTTTTATTGGAACTGCATTTAAGCTTGGCATGGCTTACATATGGTGTTTACAGCCAAGGAGTGGGGCTGGCTGGTTAGCTGCAGAGAGCCAGTGATGTTGACCAGTTCCCCTCTGAGCTTTTAACCTCATCTCATCACTGCTCGAGTCCTCAGTGTAGCGATGGCAGTTGAGGGGCTTGTTTCTAGCTCTGCGTCTATAGAAGTATTTTATAGACATGTTTTTATAAATATATGTAAAATTATATATATTTATGGGTGTATCTGGTGTGAGTGTATATACACAGTTATATACACATAAGGGTGTGTGTGTCTTTGTGCATACATGGTAAGTTTGTTACAGCAGGGCCTGCAGCATTGTCACAAATTCTATGAGAAGGGGTCTGCCCAATGTGAAAATCATGCTATGATGTCTGTCCCAGAGCTGCAGCCAGTGAAGAGGGAAGATTTTAGGGGAAATTCATGTAGAGGACAAGAGGACATGATGCAAGGGTGGTGTTCTTAAATGATGAATTTTCATCTTTTGTTTGTAAGTTCCTTAGAAATTTTCCCACTAAGCCAAACACAATGAAAATACTGAGCATATTTTCAGGAAACTATATAAAGCAATGAGCCAAATTAGCAGATACATTCAAAAATAAAAGACAGTGGAATTGTCCCTCAGTCCAATTTTGCCATGGTGGTGAGAACTGTTTTATTCCTTTCACCATCTGATCTGCTGTGGGCAGAGGAAGGGAAGTGGCAGGTTAGTGTCTCTGACTAAGTGGCTGGGGCCTTGGACAGAAGTGAAGTTGAAAGGATAAAATTGGGCATGTATTTTATTTCTAGGTTCCAAGAACTGGTTAAACAGAATGGTTTTAGAGTTACTGATGCCAACCCTTTCCTAAAGGTGTTTTTCATCTGCTAATATAATGTGTTTGCTTAAATTACTTTTTCTTGCATTTTAGGAGCAAGCAATACAGGACAAACTCCAAGCTCTGTCCCAGAGTTGCGAAAGGTATTATCACCTCTTTGGCGTAAGAAATGCTTGCATTTTGGAGTCTGTTTTTTCTGACTTGATCAGGAGAAGAAGGACTGGGAGCATGTCTAGGGAGAAGCTGACAATGTTCTGTGTGCAGTGTGCCCATTCTGGCACCTGCAGGTCTTTTATTTCCTTAGTTTGGATGCAGCATCCTAGCCTTGGTGTATGTACAGCTGTATGGATCTTCTTTTTCCTCCCTCTACAGCAAACCTTACCTGTTTGACCTTCTGCTGGGAGGGCAGAAAGACAGGAGCTGAGAAAACTTCACCTTAGAAAAGTAGGAACTAGTGCAGTTCAGAGAGAGACTGTCAGGGCCCCTTAAGGGATATATTCAGAGTGAGGGACTTCTGCTGTGTTACTGCCAGAAACATTAATAGATCATTTCTTGGTAGGTGTTGTAGCCAGAGTATGTGCCTGGTGTAGAGTAGTGCCCTTCGCTCACTGAGTATTTTCCAGTTGACTCAGTTCGGGCCAAAAAAAAGTGCAAATGTGCCCTTTTTTGCAGCCTCTCTTATAGCTTACATGTGATGCATGACTCCATTGTGTGTGACTCTGCCTTTATTTTGGGGCTGTTCTTCCTTTCTCTTGTGAAGCTACATGAGTCCAGATGTTGCTTCTGGCAAAGAGATGAGTGACAGCTTGGAAGGAGCAACAGGAAGTGGAAAGCAAGAAGGAAAGTCTTCAAAGAAGCATAAGAAATCCACGCGTGCTCGTTCGCGCCAGGAGAAGTCCAACAGACCCAAACTGACCATATTAAATGCAAGTACAACCTGTTGGAGGGTTAACTCTAGGGTTCCTTTGGCTTTGCCAGGAATAAGGGTTGTTGATCTCTGCATGCAGGTGTGTAACACAGGGGATAAGATGGTGGAATGCCAGCTTGAAACCCATAACCACAAAATGGTGACGTTCAAGTTTGACTTGGATGGTGATGCGCCGGAGGAGATTGCCACTTACATGGTGAGATGTGGCTGCCCACGGGCTCTCAGTGCTCCCAGTTGCTCTAGGCAGCTCCTCGTGTGTGCTTGTTGCCTGAGCTGCCTGGCAGCTGTGGAATGAGGCATTAATAAAAAAAAGTCTGTTTTCCCCTTTATTTTGATGTGGCCTTCTAGGTGGAGAATGAATTCATCTTGCAAAGTGAAAAAGAGACTTTTATTGAACAAATGAAGGATATCATTGATAAAGCAGAAGATATGCTCAGTGAGGATACAGAAGGAGAACGAAGTTCTGACCAGGGAACAAGTCCCCAACAAGATGCAGATAGGCTGGAAATAAGCGAGGTAAGAAACACTGAATACAGATTCCTAGTTTGATTCCTTTTTTTTAACAGCCAGATACTTAAATTACTTTTGCATCTTGTGTTAAAAAAACTAAAAAGGTTTCTTAACTAAAAAAATAATGCTTTTGCTCTGTTAAGCCTTACAATATGAACGGAATGCTGGTCCTCTTGCACTAATCCAGCTATTTCTTGTGTTGTCTCTTTAACAGGAGAAGCGTCAGTCTCAAATGAAGACATCTGTGTATCAGCAAAATGGTAAGAGTGCCTTTGAGTTTCTAGTGGAAGATGTCCCTGCTCATAACAGGGAGTTGGAACTAGATGGCCTTTAAGGGCCTCTTCCAACCCAAACAGTCCTGTGTAATTAAGACAAAGTCATGATCTGGAGACAATGGAAATTCATGTGTTTACTTGTAATTTTCTTTTCATCCCTAGTTTTGCATACCGGAAAAAGGTGGTTTATTATATGTCCAGTGGTTGAAAACCCTACTACAGATGCCCCTGAGTTTTCTCCCCCGGTGCCTCCCAGTGCCCAGCAGACAGAAGGGCCAGGTATCTCCAAACTTTATAGAAAACGTCTTCTCAGAGCTGCTGTGTTGTCTCTCTTCTGTCCTCAACTCACTCAGCTGTGATGGTTTCACTTAATTTAGTCAGACGAAGAAAATGATGAGTTTTGTTAAGCTGTGCATTTACATGTGCACGTGCATTTACATATGTTCCTGGCGTTGAACCAAATTGGGAATCTTTATCTGAGTTTCAGTAAAGTGTCAGTATTTTAGCTATACCTTATCCTGCGGGGTAGCCGAAATTCTCCATCACTATGTGTCTTTTCAGTGAAATATTTTTTGCTGAAATAATCTGAAAATTCTCGTTTGGTGTACATAACAGCTATTTGCTGGTGGGAATTGCTAGTGGGTTGTCCCTGCAGCTGACCAGGGGGCTTGGCAGTGATTTCGTTTCCTTTCAAGGTTCACCTTTTGCTTGTGTTCTCTCTAGACCCGGAACAGTCAGATGACCAGCCGGTGAGCTCTGCGGTGACAGAGGCACCTGGGCTCGGGGCTGGCCAGCAGCTTCCCCTGCACACAGGGGTCAGTGACAGCCCCCTTGGAGCCACCCTGTCCTTGGCAACGGCTCCTGCTACAGCAGCTCCTGCCAGCATAGCAAGCCAGCCAGAGTTCCCGGCGCCAGCCGCGCTGGCATCTGCCCCGAGCATCGCGGAGCCCGTGGTGGCCAGCGGGGGTCAGCCGGAGTTCCCCCAGCCCGGCCCCCCGGCCCCCCGAGCCATGGGGCTGGAGGAGCCCGCCGAGGCCCCGGCCCCGCACCTGCAGCCGCAGGCGGACGAGCCGGCCTGCGTGCCTGACGTGGAGATTGCCTGCTGCAGCGTGGGCCCACCCGCGGCCGTGCCAGCGGCTCCGGGGCCGCTGCCTCCGGACGCCGCGGTGCTGGAGCGGCAGCCGGCGCCGCAGGGGCCGCACCTGCTGGAGGGCAGCCAGCCCGGAGCGGGGCCCTTCGGCAGCCAGCCCTTCCCCGCGGCCGCTGGCCCCGACGCCCTGGCCTTGGCGGGGTCCCAGCTCCAGAGCCCCACGCAGGTGCCGCTGGCCACGTCCCAGCAGCTGCCGATGGTGCAGGGTGGCACGGGGATGGCCGGGGCAGGGGTTGGCCTGCTCCAGCAGCAGAACCCCCCCGGCGCGGCCGAGTCCGACGGCGAGGGCCCCCCCAGGGTGGACTTCGTGGACAACACGATTAAAAGCCTTGATGAGAAGCTGCGCAATTTGCTGTACCAGGAATATGTTCCAACTTCTTCGGCATCAGCAGGGACGCCAGACACCTCTGTGCCACCTGAACAGGGCGACAGTGAATTTACCTTATCCCCTTTTCCTGAAGAGCAAGCTCCTGCCCCAGCATTGGATGGGAGAGAACCAAGCTATAGCATCCCGGACACCGGCCAGGAGGTGAAAGCTGCTGCTGAGCCGCTTGTGCCCCTCGTGCCCTCAGAGGCCTTGCCTTGCCCACCGCTGGTCAGTCCCCCAGTGGCTCTGCCCTTCACCCCCTCAAAGCCAGCCTGTAGGGCTGGCCCCAGAGCAGAGCTCAAGACTCACTCTCCTGCGGTAGGCCACGTGTAGATCTTTTTCTTCCCTAAACATTTCATAACTCTGTTCCGGGGTGTGTTGCTTCTGCCTGCTGACTGCTTTCCAGTGTGAAAGCTCACTTAAATTTTTCTTGTCACATGCATCCCAATTCATTTTTCAGAAATGCTTATTAGTGAAAGCCAGACTTTTCCTTTGGGTTTAGAAGTGGTATAATACTTTAATTCATCTCCTCTTGTGTCCCGTCCAAAGCAGGCAGAAATATGTCAATTTCTTTGTAGTTTAAGAATGTAAAACACATGCATGGTGTCGTCATTGTAGTTCTAATGAAGGTGATTTTGCTTCAATTTTAAGTATAAATGAATGGCAGTGGTACAATTACTGCCTTAGAAGTCATCTTGGATAAAGCAAGCATTTCAAGTACCTTTGCCTTGTCCACATGCTGCAGCCAAAGTCAGACATTCCATGGGCATGAGTTTCTTCTGTTTCCTGTAATAGTTTCTTTTGTCTTCTCCTGAGCTTGGTAGAGCAAGACTGACATGGAAGCCTCTAAGGAAAGAGGTAACAGGCAGTCAGGGGCAGTGGTTCTTCTGTCTCAGTTGAGCCCCCATGTTAGGTTTTTTCAGATAAAATTTCAAGTTTATGAAATCATCAGATTTGCAGCACATTGTGCTAGATCAGTGTCTATTCCAGGCCCTGGCACAGGTTACCCAGAGAAGCTGTGGCTGTCCCATTCCTAGCAGTGTCCATGGCCAGGTTGGATGGGTCTTGGAGCAACCTGGGATAGTGAAAAGTGTCCCTGTACATCGCAGGGGAGGCAATAGGATGAACTTTGAAGTCCTTTTCAACCCAAACCATTCTATGATTCTATATCTTACTCAAAAGTAGCATTTCTGGAGATAATTCCATCCCTAGCAAGGCTGAGCCTGTTCTGTGTAGCATCAGCTGGAGGGACTCCTGTCGACTGCCCAACAGGTGCTGTGTGGTACAGGAAAGCAGCTGTACTGGAGTGACTGTTTAGAGCGTGTTGTTTTCTAATGATAAATGACTTTCTACAGCAAACCAAATTCTCTCTCTGTGAAAGGTGCTATGTCTCTCGAGTAATTGGAATTCATCCTATTAAAAGCTGTGTCAGTAAGGAAAGAGACATAGAATTTCTGAGGACAGACGTACAGATGAGGAACGTACAGTCTGGCTGGAAAAGCAAACCAGAACAAAGCCCCAAGCATGTGTGTATATATAATATACCGGGTTTCAGTAGCTTGGGCTGCAGTTCCAACTGCAATGCTGCCACTGCTTTATTTCTTTCAAGGAAGAAGGAAAAAAAATGGGGGAGTTGGAGACAAGACTTGAAGGCCCCTCCACAGGCACTGTGAAATAGTTCCGTATTCTCTGGTAGTGCCAGGGCAGCAAGGGGAAGTGAGGGAAGGAGAACACATTCTGCTTTGTGAGACTGAAATTGTGTTTCTTTTTTCCTTTTACTGAAAGTTGAACAAGCCAGAAGTCACTGGTGTGAGTGCTCATCCCTCAGAGGCAAGAGGTGGGTCAGCAGGCGGAACAGGTAATGCTCCTCCGGCCATCCCTGCTTGGTGTCAGTGGCAGGAGTGGGGCAACAGCCCGTCCATGTCCAGCAGCCCTGTGTGTCTCTGAGACACCAAGAACACCAGAATAGTTCAGGCCCAATGTACCATGCAGATTTCATTCTTCTTCTCTTTTTCTCCTTAAAAATTTTTAACTGAGTAATGAGATTCCACACACCTGTTATTATTTGAATTCCCCAAATCACTAGATCTGCCAACCTGCAGATATTTTATATTGCCATTGCTATTGCCTCCTGCATTTTCAATCCTGTATTACAAAGACCGGGGTTTTAAATTATTCCTCAGTGGTACACTTCAGTTTATCACAATGAAACACTGGTTTTTATTACATTAAAGCATTCCAGACATAAATATTTTTTTCCCAACTTTAAATCAGGTCCAGCCACAAGCATCGCTTCAGCTCCTGCTGCTCCAGCAAAAGGCCTCCTTCAGGTAATCAGAACTAGGAGCGGTTTTCTGCTTGATTGTTACAGTTCCTTTTGTTAAGCTCTCTTATTTTTGCCAGGCTGCACCTTCATCATCAGGCACAGCTCCACAGATGGAGACTTTCCAGAGGAGTGAGGAGGCAGAGAGGACAGCTTCGCCTGCACACGCAGAGAGCGTAACGCGGAGAGTGACAGCAGATGGGGTGATGAGTAACTTCCACAGGGATGGTTCTCCAGGCTCTGGTTCCTATGGAAAACAGGCTGAGGCTCAGGAGAGTGGCACGCCAGCCAAAACCATTGGCAGGTTTTCAGTCATCAGCACGCAGGATGAATTAACTTTAGCAGCACCGCACTGCTTGAGGTTCTCGGCCCCCCCGGACGTGTACCTGGACGAGCTGCCCTCCAGCCCGGACATGAAGGCTGCTGTCCGCAGGGTCCAGACGGCCTCGTCCGTGGACGTCCTGTGCGACCAGGCCTCGAGCGACTCCGCTGACGAGCCCTTCCCGCGGCAGCCGGCGGCTGCTGCAGCTGCACAGCTCTCCCCCGCCAGCAGCAGCACAGCCACAGACTTAATCAAAAAAGCAGCTGCTTTTCTGCAGAGGTCTGCCAAAGGTGGCTCCCCTGGCCCAGAGTCACCCAATGGGCAAGGTGCAAAGATTCCTACGATCAACATCACGTCCTTCCACTCACAGTCGTCCTACATGAGCAGTGACAATGACTCAGAGTTTGAAGATGCTGATATGAAGAAAGAGTTGCAGAACCTGAGAGAAAAGTATGTTGAGTTGCAAGTGATATAAGGGAAGCTTGTGTTACTGTACCTGAGCAGCAGCTCAGCTTCGGATGAGCAGAACTGTAAGGAGTAAACTGGTTCTGGGCAAATCAGGCAATGCCAGGACCTTTCCCCACCTTCCTGCTGTGCATCGCCTTATCTGCCAGTTCCAGTTAGAAGAATAACTCATAGAATCCCAGACTGTTTTGGGTTGGAAGGGACCTTAAAGATCATTCCAACTGCTGCCATGGGCAGGGACACCTTCTATTATGTAAGGTTGCTCCAAGCCCCATCCAACCTGGCCTTGGAGCCAGAGACTCCCCCTTCCAGAGATGGGGAGTCACCACAGGTAGATTGTTGTAGCTTTGCATACTTAGGGATGAGCAGCTGATTGTTTTATAACCAACAATTGTTTTGTTTCTTCTTTTACAATTAATTACACTGTCAGGATATGGTGCTTTATCAAATGCATTGTTAGCACAGTCCTTTTATTTTTTTAGGCATATGAAAGAGATTGCTGAGCTGCAGACGCAGCAGAAGAATGAGATAGAGGCACTGTATATTCGCCTGGGGAAACCCCTTCCTCCCAACCTGGGCTTCCTTCACTCTGCCCCACCAAGCAGCCGGCGCCGAAGAACCAGCAAAAACAAATTGAAAGCCGGAAAGCTCTTAAACCCTCTGGTCCAGCAGCTCAGGAGTGGAACATCAAGCACAAGTAGGTACACTGGGTGCTTCCCTTTGCCTGTTGCTTCTGTCAGTCGTGGCTGTGCTGTGTGATGTCTGGGACTGCTGGAAAGGATGGAATGTTTGTTGGTTTTAAGCTGGCATGCTTTTGGACAGGCTTGTCCCAGGTCCTGCTGGCAAGCCATACCTGCCTGCTCTGCATTGCCTACAGTTCTTGGTAGAGGAATAATATTCCACTTTAATTTGGAAAACAGCCTGGTTACATCTCCTCTATTCTTTAAATCCAATTTACTGATGTTTGTATTCACTTCTTACATGCTGTTATGCTGTATTGACTAGGTGCTATATCTTGTTTCCTTTTTCCTCCAAGATGCCATATATAAAAGATGGGATTCCATTTGCTCCCCCAAAGGATGGGAGGTAAAAGCATTTACAAAACTGTGGTGGATGCTTTGACCATGAAGTAATGTGAGATTTTCACACAGCACTACAGTCCTGAGGTTTTATCTCTTGGAAAAATACAAAAATAAAATTTACCTGGAAAATATTGATAAAACCCAGTACCTATTTCTTCAGCAAAATGTAGAATAGAATATGCATAATTTTTCTCCAGCTTAGTTTGTGCTGTTATTTGGGGGAGCAGCAGCATTTCCAGCATTCACCCTTTATTTCAAACCTGATGGCTCTTGTTTTCAATATCACTGCATCATAGGGCCTCTTTGAATTTTGTTGCATCAATCTTTATAGACAAGGTGTTGAGGAGAATTTTTCTTTTAGCTAAGGATTTCAGCTGAGTTGGGAAAAACAAATATATTCAGAGGCAATAAGTTCTGTGGCCCATCTTGAGGCTGAGTGTTCTTGCCCACAGGGACTGAAGCAGTGTTGGATACTGTCTGTTACTTCTACATCTATCTAGATAGTTATATGCTTATCTGTAGATATCTAGATAAATGTCTCTATCTGTACTTTTGTCTACACAAATATCTTAGGTAAAGCGGCTTAAAAACCAAAATACTTTGCAATCATGTGTTACATGAATTTATCTGTAGAAGAATCTGAAAGTGGCAATTATACTCAAATAGCTATAAATAAAAAGTTCCTTGTATCTTTGCTGCAACTTTTATTCTTCTCCATTTGCTTAATTTCACCTTTGGTGTGGGAGAGCAGATCTCTGTGTCCTGCTTTGTCATTCTGTGTGTTCATCCTCCTCCTCAGCACCCCAGCAGCTCTCTCTTCATTCCAGCAGTGCTCCTTCTGAGGCTCCTGAAAACACAGAGGAGAAACTGTAAAAATCAAACCTGCTCCAGGAGCTTCTTGGAGAAGCAGGCTCAGTGATAGGATATGTGGGTTATTTTCTGGTGCAGGCTCTCCCCAAAGTGTGTGCTCCATCCAGTGCATCAGAATAGTGAACGGCTGTTCCTCTTGGGGTCAAGATACGGATTATTTTTAGGCAGGGATTTTTTATTCAGAGTTTTCCTAGCTTTTGCCATTGCATGTGTTATGTTTGTTTGCTCTTTCAGGTAACCTTTCAGACTCTAAAGACTCGCCCCACAGAGAAAGCAGTAACTCTCAGCCGGGTTTCCCCGAAGCCGCCGCGGTGCCTCCCGGCGCAGCGCCCGCCCTGGGCAAGGCTGTGCAGACCCAGCAGCCCTGCTCTGTCAAAGCCTCTCTGTCCTCCGACATCTGCTCCGGCCTGGGCCCTGACGCAGCTGACGCCAACGCAGGCTCTGGCCAAGGTGATTCTTCCTGCTGCCTGTTTTGTGTCTCTTCCAGCACGTGCTAAAATTAGTTCCCTTCCCTTAGGCTGGAACTTTTTAGGAGTGATAGAGGAATGTGAACCTTTGGCAATCCAAATTACTGGCTTATCTTTAAAAAGAGCATTGCAGTATTGTCAGAAGAGCAAAATTTAAGTATCTTGCCGAGTGTTACCAGCACTCGAGAAGGCATGCCCCAAGACATCCCTAATTCTTAGGAAAGAAATACCTTTCAGCTTTGCCAGCAGTGGCTTTATCCTTAATACCTTCTCTGGAGTCTTCCTTACAGACTCCTGAGCAAAAATGAATGGAAAACAAAGAAGATACAAAAGGCTAGGAGAGCGTTTGCTTTGTTTCATTTTTTTAGCCCCTTGATTACAGTAGACCCCAAGTTCCTCATTATAAACTACCAAACTGTCTTGGGCATGAGAGAAAATAAAAATGAAATTAAAAGAAAACCAAACCCAGGGGACCAAGTTATATTTCCTTTCTATGAGGGGTTCACTTTGTGCATAATTTTGGAGTCCCAGCCACAGGACTGTGCTCCCATGACCCCAGTTCTGAGACCTCTGTGTATTGCCCCCATCATAGGCTTTGACTGATCTTGTTGCCATGCATATGGGAAGTTCCAATGATGATTAAAATACCTTCCTCTCATTGCACATCCTGCCAAACTAATCTACAAAATACCTATCTGTCCTCTTCTGCTGTTATTGCATCCTTTGTGTATGGTCAGTGAACTTGCTCCTCTTTGGCAAAGTTAAGGGGGAGATGTGGAGGTTTAACTAACAAAGCTGATTTGACTGATGGTTTAGGACATCTGATCACAGCTACTTGTACTTTATAAGTGTCTTTGTTTTCTTCCCTTTATATTCATTTACAGGCTGGACGGTTTTCCACCAAACGTCTGAGAGAGTGACCTATAAATCTAGTAGCAAACCTCGTACCAGATTCCTCAGTGGACCTGTGTCTTTGTCCATCTGTTTGTATTTGTTCTTTTGTATTTTATCACAGTCCATCTTTCTTTTACCCCCTTTTTCCAATTCCATGATTTAAATCTCTAATATGTTTGGCAGGATGCCCCTTTTTCTCAACCATCTTTTCTTTCTTTTTCTCTTTTTTTTAAGTAATCATCATGAACACACCTTATTTATATTAATTTTTCATGTGAAAGCTTTTTTTGCACTGCTTTTGGCTCATGCCTGGGCACCAAAAGCATGTGTGGAAGATCTCATCATTTATTATATATAGCCTGATGGTAAATTTTACCCTGGAGTTATCAAAGCTTTTGTACTTTATGTGATTTCTGTTGAAGTAATTTTATTTGCAATGTGGCAAATATACATGTCTGCTGTCCCGGTTCCAGCGACAACAAAACGAAATCCATCCTTCTGTAGACGAATGGTCTCTTTCACACATGTTTGGACTCTGAAGACATGCATGTAGCAAGCTGATACAATTCTAGAAGGTCACTGGAGGGTATAACTTCCATACAAGGGCTGTATTAACTCGATATACAGTACTGTTTATATCCACTCTATTTTCTTTAATTTTTTCCCCGCTCTTTGCATGTGGAAATGCTGAGACAATAGTGCTCCAGCTAGTTCTTTCCAAATCTCTGTCCCAGGTGGGCTTTTCCCCATGCAGTCACTTTAATTACTTTAAGTGAGCGATTTTTTTATGGAATCATAAGGCGCAGGAAGATCTGGTTACTCTAAGGGAGAGTCCCATCAACTTTTTGTGTAAGCTGATCTGGCTGAAGCACTTGACTCAGTTTATTTTCTTATGACCTTATGTGACCTCAGAGATGAAGTCAATTAGCAGTTCATCAAAGCATAAATAAGTAAAAAGCAATATCAGATATTCAGATGATACTTGGAAATGGATTGTTAGGATCCAGGAGTTTTGTCTCAAATAACTGTGCACCTTCTATTTGTACCCTATTTGTCTGACTTATAAAGTAATTGGCAATTCTACCAAACAATATCAAGCTATTTAATGAAAAAAATCAGACTTTTTTACCCAATTGTAGATGCTGCTTTTTAGGCAAACGGATTTTGCTTGTACAATAAAGATATGTTGTGCTGAACAGGTACTATAGGCCACTTACATATAACCTTAGAAGGGCTGATAACGTTTTTGAGAAAGTGTTTAGTTAAATAACTATGGGTTTACAGGAGTATCAGCTCTCCCCTTGGAGTTCTGCACTGCTCATTACTATCCAAATGGGTCATGTCAAAGGCACAAGACCACTCCAATACACTCCTCCTAATTTTATGAATAAACATTATTTTAAGAAATAATCTCAAAACTTTTTTTTTGAGCTCCCTGAAAGCACAAACACTCAGATGATTGACATTTACAGAATTTATTATCATGTGAGCTTTTCATGACTGGTGATGTCATGAGACAATTTTGCATTTAGGGATTTTTTCTTGATAACCTGAGGAGAATTCTCAGCTCCCAAAAATTCCTGTTTGGTGTTATAGTGGCCACAGTAATTTCTTCTTCTGCACATGTAATTCCCAGAAGACGCTTCAGTAATCTTCCATGGAATTACTATTCAGTAGGATGCAAAAGGTCTGGCAATAAAAATCAGTGTATTAAAAATGTTTGGGTGCATGGATGTTGTGAATGAAACCAAGGGAATATGTAAATCCTTTGAATCACGAAGTTTCCTCATGCTTAAATAACTCGGCATGACTAATTGCTTTCTGTTCTCAGCCCATGTGCTCTCTCAGGCTCTGGGCGAGTACAGGGGGAGGTTTGGCCTCCCCCATCTCTGAGTCACACCAGGAGATGGGTGCAGTTCAGGCACTTAACGTGACACTGCAACCCTAGGTCACCCCTGAGGGTCCCAGTCCTGAGAGCACAGCTTGGCTGCCAGAGGAGCCTCTCACCTGAGGTGCCTCTCACCTGGGGAGCTTGGCAGATCCCCATGGCTGAGCTGTGGGCAGGTTTGGTGGGGCAGGAGGCTATTCCAGCTTGTTTTCCTGTGAGCTCAGCAGGTGGGATGTGTGTGTGAGTGCAGGACTGGTGCTGTGTGCATTCCTGTCCTTCCCCAGGGTGGCTGGGGCTGGGACAGCGGCAGGCAGGACGGACAGTAGGATGTTCTGTGGAGCTGGGATCCAGAGCAGGTGTGTCTGGAGCCTCAGCAAAAACAGTGCTCAAGGAAGGCCAGGTTGGATGGAGCTTGGAGCAGCCTGCCCGTGGCAGGGGTTTGGAAAAGGATGTGCTTTTAAGGTCTTCCAATGTAAACCATCCTTTTATTCTGTTATTTGAAGGTGATGATGTTGGCAATACCAGCTGGCTCATCTTCCTTTCCCTCTGCAAGAGACATCAGTGCACCCAGCAGGCAGGCAAAGCCAAGCATTTGCATTAAGTGCTAAACATGTGCATCCATACCCCATCCCTGGAAGTGTCCCAGGACAGGCTGGATGGGGCTTGGAGCACTTGGGATAGTGGAAGGTGTCCATGGCCATGGCCATGGCAGGGGATGGAACTGGATGGGCTTTAAAGTCCCTTCCAACCCAAACCATTGCAGGTAGGATTCCATCCTCTGTGCAGTTGTACAGGGCTGGGACACGACTACCCAGCGCCAGCAGCTCGGTGGCGCCTCCAGACAGTACAGAGTCCTGGGTCTATTCCATTAGTCAAGGTTTCCCTGGTATTTTTTTTTGTTTGAGAGCTGTTGAGAAACACTGTGCTGCGTTTTCAGAAATGCTCCGAATCTGTGTGTTTGGATAAGGAAAACCAGCCCTTTGGCAAGGTGGGATATGCCAGCAGGAGACCTGCTGCACTGGCAGAAACGTTGGCAACTTTAAAAATCAATGTTCAGATGGATTAAAGACAGTATCACAAGGATCTTGCTCTGGTTACAAGATCCATCAGATTCAAACACTTCCACAGTGTTCTGCAGGACATTTTGAGCCACGTACAATATTGACTTCTCCTTTGTATGTTTCATTAAATAGAGTATTTTTGATGGGCTTTGGCATAATTTTATCCTGAAAAAAAATATTCTGCATAATTTTTCCTGGGCTAAACTGCAAGGGTGCCTTAGGGAAGACTTTTCACTGATTGTGAGTGGAATTTTCAAAGCTCCATTTGGCTTAGGCTTGGAATCTTGTGTAATGCAATTTTTTGCCAGGTTTGTAGCAATTCATATACTGTATGTGCATATGCAATTATGGAAATGGTCTAGCAGTTTATTGCCATTTCCATTTTTTTTGTAGCTTTCCAGCTTTTTGGCAGCTGTTAGTGCAAATATGGGACAGTGGATTTTTTTCTGTTCTGTATAATAGCTATTTAATTCCTCAGATAAGAGATCTGGAATTGGAGGTAAAATGCTCTGCTGAACTTTCACAATCTTACATTAAATCTTAATTATTATTCATCTCCTTAACTTTACTGTTCTTAAACATGTTAATTTTAGCAGTAATACAATTAATTGGGTGAATTAGATCTACAAAGTGAATTTTTAATTTAATTTGAGTTCATAACCAACCATGGCTGATAACTGTCAGTCCCTGCTTGAGGCAGTCTCACCGCTTACGGGGCTTCTCCCAAGCCCCACACTGGAGTGATGCTGCTGGAAGGAGCAGCTCTCTTCTCGGTGCCTGACTCTCCTGTGATATTTTCCTCAGAGCTGGAGCCCCTCATGCAGGTGTTTCATGAGTGTGTTGAGTATTGCCATTTCTGTCACTTCCCCAGGTCGGGTTTGGCACCTGAGGTGCTTGGAAACCTGTGCCTGGCTGTGCAGGAAGCAGAGGGGTTGGCAATGAAGGGGATTTTACACACATTCGAGCACGCACTGCAGTCAGCTGCCTGCTTTTATTTCTCATGGGCAGGTGCTTTCCATTTGCATTCCTGTTGTGCTAAGAAGTGCTTGTTGCTGCAGGAAATAGCCTCTAGGATTGCTGCTGTGGCCACTGCCGTTGTGGGCACTTGTTTCTATTGTGGGAATTGGTAGCTTACGTTGGGATAGGCAAGGTAAGGTATATCTGAGGGCAAAGAGAGCAAAAGATAAAAGAATACAAGACAGATGGTTGAGTTGTGAATGTGACTGTGTTTGCTATCTGGGCTTTGAAATGAGAACTGAACTTGGTCATGCTTGTGTTGTTGTAGTCACGTCCTGATTTTCTCAGGATAGAAATCCATATGAACTATATGAAATAAAAAGAAATTCTTTCAGAGCAGTCCTCTGTTCCTCATGCCACCCATATCTAAGCACAAACATCTCTTCTCCCTTACTTCCTCCCTCCCTTGTTTCTTTACTTTCTCTTCCTCAGTCTCTGACTGAAATCGCTTCCTTCTCCTCTGAAGACTCATTTAGGGCCTGTGTCAGCCTGGACCTGCAATCTCTGAGTTTAAAGCTGCATTTCTGGCACAGTAACAAAATGTTACACCACTGTTTACTCTAGAGAAAAAGCACATCATCCTCTATCTTACTTTTTTGCCCCAGTCTGATTTTGCTCATGGTTTCAAGTGCTTCTTCCCAATGAACCCACCATAGCCCATGTCAGACACTCATCTCCCCCCATCCCATAACAATATTCTTCTTACCAAGTCCAAAATACCTTTCAGGAAATTTTGGCACCCAAATAGCAACGGTGCCAATGTCTGGCAAGATCTGACAGTCGAGTCGGGGTCTCGGCACACTTCTGGCACTCTGCTATCTATCAACAGACTGTAAAATCATGATGAATGATGGAACAAGACAATAATGAAAAAAACAAGTAGTTTAGTTAAATTAAAACTCGGCTACCCTGACGGATTATTTTTCTGCACTTGGACAAGGCATAGGGGAAACTCATTCACAGTTCCATTCAATTGAAGTTCAGAGTCTCACATTTAGACACAAATCCTACAAATATACTATTTGGAAACAATTGGCCTCAGACCTGCAGAACAATGTATCTTTTTGGACTCGTAAAACAAGATTTTTAGGGTTGTTTTATGGTTTGTCTTTGCAGCCAGACTAGCTTGACTTGTTCCTGAAAGCATTTTTGGCCTCCAATCACAATCTAAATTGACATTATTTCCTGCATTAATAGGAAACAAATCAAAACCTTCTATTAGGAAGCCAAGGCAATTTGGGAAAAAAAAAAGGAAAATAAAATCAATTTAAAAAAATTTAAAACCCACCAACCAAAAAAAACCCAAACAAATGCATCTTTAAGTCATGAGCCCTTGCTTTTGGCATGTTGTGGTACTTCCCAAAGCTTTTGAATGGCTGCACATTAAGAAAGGTTTGAGCTGTCCAGTTATTTAGGCTTCCTTTACTCACCTGAACTGCTGACTTTGTCTGTCCTTTCTTGCATAATAACTACTTTCTGATTGCTTAAAAGTACAGAAGCTTGTCCATCTGATTTGTTGTGTTTAGTCTTACCTAATTCTGTGTGTCTTGTATTGTTTTACCTTGTAGGGTCCACCTTGAAACGACTATGTCTAGGCAAAGATCACAGTAGTAGTAACTATCCCGTTTTTGTTTCTCAGTATTTCCTTCATGGCATGGGATGTTCTTTGCTTTTTTATTATTATTTTTTACTAAAAGCTAATTGTTTAATAACTAGAGCTGATGCACTTACCAGAAGCTAGACTATAAATTGTGATACTTTGAGAGTAATGCATGTGCTATGATGTCTTGGGAACCTTGCATGCTGCAAGAGAGTCGTGGTGTTCTGTGTGTGAGACCGTGCACGCATGCGGCCAGGGAACTGGGTCCAGTGTCTGTCTCTGAAATACACACCTCTGTATGATTGCAGTTCTCTGCTGGAGGAATTGATAGCTTAAATACACTCCAGCCCCCTTGAGCTGCATGAAATATTAAACACCAATCGAAGAGCTTTCTTCTAAAAATCTTTACTTTTCTCACTTTTACCCCAAGTGAAGGAAAAGGAATTGAGCAGTATTCACTTAGAAGTGACATTGCAGGTTGAATGCATGATCATTTAAAGGTTATTAATGTACTTTATATAACTGTAGGACTAATTAGTGTACTTGGTTTCATTGGCTGGTAACTGATTAACAGAGAAAATATTCCATGTTCATGTTTGCTTATACAATCATTTTACTACAGTTCTATGAACTTTTTGCTTGGAGAGATGGTCTTTATTTCCAATCTTTAGCTGTCTCAAGTATGTTAGCTGAGAAGTTACTTTACATTTTCTGCTTAGGTCAAACTCAGACTCCTTCAGTTGCAGTGCCCTGCTGAGCTTGCTGTGTCAGACTTGTAGTAACTAAGCAGAAAAAGGGCAGAATTTTTTTTTTTACTGGTTCTTCTAGAAAGAAGTGAACATACAGAATTAAATCTCTATCAGTACTCTTCCTGACTGCTTTTATCTACACCAAAAGTTCTCTATCTTTGTCTCAAACAGTCACCCTGCCCACTACAGCCTCTCTCCTCTCTCTTCTATACTTTCATGGTCCTGATGGGGTTTTTTCCCCCAAAATACACAAATAGCCATGTGAATGGTCCTGGCATCATCAAGAGAGGTGGTGGGCTCCCAGAGGAGCAGGAACCAGTCCTGCCTGTAACCTCTGTGACAATAACATTTTTCCAGGAGGACAGTAAACTTAGGCAAGTGAAATAAATGGTAAATTAATTTTATAAATGCTTGCAATGTTAGCAATACATCCCACCTCCCTCTTCCTCATGGTAGTGTCTGAGGAGATGGTGTATGGGATGTCAGCTTTATGGGGCTGCATTCCTGGCTTCAGTCCCTGTCCCTAATTTCACCCAAGACAAATTAGTAGCCAAGGTAACATGATGTGATAGAAAATGCAAACCCATTGGACTTGGACCATTTCTTTAAGCAAAGGTGTTCTGCCGCCAGGAGGGGGAGGGTTAGAAATCCGAAAAGCCACCACTGGAGTGGCAGTAGGTGAGAAGGGGTTTGAGCTGCAGAGGTAAGGCAGAGACACCATCTCAGCTCTCTGTGTGATTTTCCAGGATCCTCGACCAACAGCCTGGTGACATGTCCTGAGCCCCTCCCGCAGTCGACGTTGCAGGTTCAGGCCAACAACAGTAACAACAAGAAAGGGACGTTCACAGATGACCTGCACAAGCTGGTGGACCAGTGGACGAGCAAAACTGTTGGAACTGCACAGACAAAACCTTCTTTAAACCAACTGAAGCAGAACCAAAAAAGGCAAGACATGGAGCCAAAGGCTAACCCCATGCAAATGCAGAATGAGACATGTGGAGTAAGTGGCCCTCCTTGAAGGACATACCTTTTGCTATGTGTCTGACAGCCTTTGCAGAACTCAGATGTGGAGGAGGACATAGACTAAAATTACTCCAGATAAATGCTTTCTATAAATGTCCAGATCTTTTCATTCAGTACTAAATCAATTTTTTTTAATTGTCCTTTGGAATAATCTTAAGGGATATATGGGCAGCAATATATATATAAATATTTATTTTAAAATTCCAAACTGCTTATTAACAGCAATGCAGAGCAATACTCCTATCATTATCATCTGTTGCTCAACTTCAGTTTCAGCTATTAGTAAAGTTTCTTTTTGATGTTTAATATTAACTTTCCTTGGAACAGGGACTGGTGGCTCTGTGGTTGGGAGCCATTGTTTGAGTGGAATTGGAGTGAGTTCTGTGCTGGGAGAGGGGACAGCTGGGAGGGTGCTGACCCTTGCCTGTTGGACAATACCATCCTCAAAAATGCTGTGAAAGTATCCTACAACAAATAAGGAACTGGAAAGCCCCCATTGGTCCCTTTCTGTTCTCAGCAGCAGGACAAAGCCATTGCAGGTGCATCATGTCTGCATTCAGTGCTGCTGAGGGCTGATACAGAGGCAGCACAGCAAGAAATGAGCATGCGTCCAGAATCCTAGTTCACCATTCTGGCCCACCCTGGTCTGGGTTTTCAAATCTCCTCACTAGTTGGAGAGTAATTTGACTAGTAATTTGACTGGTAATTTTTGTTGGGTTCATTTTCCTGGAAGACTGCAAATTGAGCCAAAATAGAGGAAAATATCAGTGAGGATCTGTTTTGTAATCCCCTAAAAGCAAGAGAACTAGATCTGGATAGCAAACCACTGCCTTTTTGGGATGTAGAAGGAAAAAGTCCTGCAGCAGTAGTAGTTCTGTAGCTGTTGATGAGGTGAAATGTACCAAAGCAGGAACCTCACCAGTACATCTGCTTTGGTACCTGCTGCTTCTTGAGTCAGTAAATAATCCTTTTGCTCAGTAATGCTTTAACCAGCTCAGGAGTAAGCAATGTCTACTTAAGACCCTTAACAGTTTTCATAAAATAAGTCAAAGTTGGTGCTAGTAAACCCAAACTAAAGATTTCCATAACGAGGCAGGGAGGGCACAGATTTTGTTATGTCACTTCTTGCCTTCTTTTGATGCGCTTTTTGCAGCATTTTGGTGTCTTTCCCCTGAGACTGCTGCAGAAGTTTGAAGTATGTGGATGTTTTGCCCACCTGTATCTCTGGAGAAATGAGTGGTTATTTTACATATTTAAATCATCTGTCACTATCAATTTAGGGTTAATTTTACCTCCTGCAGTTTTGGTGTCCCTGTCTCAAAGCCTGTGGAGAAAGCAGTGTGTCACTGTGAGAGCAACAGGAATGTTCCTCTCTCAGTAGACTGGGTCTTAGAGGGTTTGTGTCTTTCTCAACCATGGCAGTTGTTCCAGGGAATCAGCAAAGCTGACTGAAGTTTTTTGGAGGTGATTTACTAGGAGCATGGAGAGGTTGGGATTCCCTGCTCTTCATTTTGCATTGTTCCTTGTTGTGTGGAGGAGTGGTATCAGCTGGAGCCCTGGGGTGGGTGAGACCTGGGGTGGTTTGGGGCATGAAGTCCTTGTAAGGACCATGCTGGCTGCAGCAGAGATGCAAGGGCAGATGGCAAACACTGCTGGTGTACTTTTTGTTGAGTGTTTTGGCCACAAAGATGGCACAGAATGCTGCAGGTGGCAGGTATGATATACAAGAGTTTGACAGGGGTTTGTTTGGGAGTTCAGCATTGTTTTGCTGTTTGTACCCTCTGAAATTTGCCCTAGCTGGAAAATTGAAGTTGAGGGAGAAGAGGGCTGCATGGTGTTGGAGAGAAATAGCCAAAGGAGGAGGAAGGGAGCAGCATGAGAGAACTCCTAGTGTGGACAGCTGGACAAGTAACCTGTGTATCGGAGGGATGAGCTCCATGGGGAGATGGCCATGTGGTGAATCACAGCTGAGTCAACTGGAAAGACAAAAAGAACTTGGGAAATCACATAAAGGATGGAAAAAATAGCTTTCCAAGAGAGAGAGAATCTGAAGCTCAGGATGTACTTCTTCAGTTCATCTGGTAACACCGTGTTTTGTCGCCTCTTTTGATCAAAAATGCCTTTGCAAGAAAAGAATAAGGATTTCCAGCCCATCAGAGAAAGTTATAAGGTTTTATGTTGGAAATAAAGGCTGGATAAGTAGGAAACAAGGTGATTCTTATGCTTTTTGTGTTTTTTTTTTTTAACTGGAACAAACTAGTACAGAGTTGTTAGGGTGGGCTGTCTCACATGGGCTTAGTTTTGGGAAAAGTGGTCCCTTGTGATAGTCACAAATGAGGGGCTGGGGCTGGCAGGATTTGTACCTTCACTTCTGCTTTGTCTCTGGGGATTATTGTAAAGAGAAATGCCTCCCTAAAGGGTTTCATACAGGAGTAGGAGTGAAAGGAGTTGTCCCACAATGAAAAATACATTAAACAAGCAAACAAAAAAACCCAAAATATTATCTATACATTTAAATAGAAAAATACATTTTTTACTTTAAAATTTTTTCTTGCTGTTCACCTACTGTTATAAATATGCAGGGCAGTTGTGTGGCTGACTCAAAATCTTCTCTTTCCCCCTGGAACAGAGGACTCACTTCCCTGAGTTATCTCTTTTTTACTCAAGACTCCTTCTACCACTAGCAGCAAATTGTTTGCTGTGAATAAAATATATTCTTTTTTAACTAAGTGAAAGCTACTCTTTAAGGCTGGAAATAGAAGAGAAACTGGTAGTGTGTTAAATAAGAGTGAGTGGTTTTCTTTTCATCCTCTGCCATCAGAAGTGTAGACAGCAATAATGTAATTGGCATGTAAAGGAAAACTTCACATTCTGCTTTGTTTCTATGGAAGTTACCAGTCCATTTGCCTGCAAATCCTGGTTGATCATATTAGAAGTCTGGGGGAGACCTTTCATAGGGGGAGGAGCCTTCTTACATTTGTGTCACAAGAGCATTGAAATGTACCTTTTCAAATGGCTTTGTGAAGCATGTAAATGCAGGTAGATTCTCAGCAGCAGCAGTTTGAAATGCAGTAGGAAATATTAGAACCGAGGTCAAACTGCCTGAGTGATTTCTCTATGTGATCTTTGTGAAGATATGATGAAATAATCATTTTTACAGGTATATTGGTTAGCATTAGTCAAGAAATAAGTTTAGGAATATGAGCTGCCTTCTGTGCAAAGAATACTGAATATTGTGTACTTAAAGACACTCTTTGGAGATGCCTGAGAATGAAGGGCTTGCCAAAAATGTTTTCTATTCTCCATGCTATGTGTAGCTCCACAGGTTCTACAGGAAAAACATCACCTCCAAAAAGGCTGAAACATGTTCCCCGTGCATAGTGAGGTTGTTTCTGAAAACACACAGGTCTGTGTCACTGTGTGATGGGAGCTGGGGGCTTGGACACCTTCAGCAGCATCTGAACCTCTGCTGGCATTTCCTGACTCATGGGCTTGGGTGTGCTGCTGGGAGCAGCCAGGCTGGACATGGCCACGATGCCAAACCCATGCCGTAGCCCCTTCCCTGTGTCTTCCCTCTCTGTTGGATTGGGAAAATAATAAAAAATGAATCTGTATTTGAAACTATTCAACACTGCCTTGGTCTGAATAGTTTTCCAGGGAATTGGAAAAGCACACACACATCTCTTCAGGAGTGCCTAAAAGCTTTGGGGTTTCAACAAACTAGGCAGAAGTGATAAAAGAGATATCCATTTCTTTTATAATCCTTACCAGCTCATGTTGGCAGCCAGCTCTGAGTCTGCCCTGTGACTCAGTTTTGTTTCAGCAATAGTTGGTCCATACAGAAGGAAAACACTGATGCTAATGGGGTAGCCAGCAAAAGAAAAATTGTCTAAATCCTGCCTTTTCAAATGCGTTGTGATAGTTATGGTCAGCTTTCACAACAGAATTACCTGGTTTCCTCTGTTCTGATATAAATCCAGAAGTATTTATGGTGTTGGTATGTCACACCCAGTGCTTGGCTGTGTAGTTTGACTGTACTGGAACTGTAAGTATCACTGGGGGTAGTAGCACTTTGAGGTTTGCCTGATAGAGCACAGGAAAAATTATAACAAGTCCAAACAACAGATTTGGGGTATTTGAACTACCCTAGTCTTTGTCTTGTGAAGTTTATCCATTTTTACCATTGTTTTCTGGTATGTTTTTTCTGTGTATGTATTACTCTTGTTTTCTAAATGAGTTTGTGTGATTATTTGGGGGAAGGGGAATAAACAGCCACAAAGGAAAACTGCCAGGAGAAGTCTGGTGTGGAGGAAGAAGGAGCTGGTGGCTGGTACCTGCAGGGACCTGTGCAGGTGCTCAGAGCAGAGGTTTGTCAGTGCAGGGAGAGTTGGGTGCATGCAGATGAGGTGGCACGAGCAGAGGTGTGAGGGTGGCAGGTGAAGGTGCCACTGGCTCTCTTGGCTCAGTGAGTTCCTAGCTTCAGCAGAGGAGCCTAGTGGAGATGTAGAGGGGAAGAGCTTCCCTTCCTACCCATATGACACATGGCACCCTGCTCTCCTGAGACCCCACCCTCAGGACTGCCTGCAGGTCTGGCGTCCTGAGCACAGGGAGGCCCTGGGGATGCTGTGAGGGCTAGAGCTGGCCAGGCAGGTGTGACAGGAGCCCTCGTGGGCTCTCAGCTGTGCTGGGGACCGTCACCCCTGGCAGCTCGGGCTCCTCCTCAGGTGAACCCCTGACCATGGACACAGCACTGTGCAGCACAGGGACATCCCTGGCTGGTTTGAGATGCTGAGCCAGTCCTGTTCAGGGCTGTGCTGTGATCCCAGCAAAGCGATGCACAAACCTCTTTCATCACTGCCTGAATGTCCATCTGCTGCCCTTTGAACAGGACCAGCAAAGGGACTTGCAGTCTTATGGCTTTCCTGGAGCTAGGAAATCCACAGCTTTGGGGCTGCTTTTCTGGCATATGTTAATTCT